CTGTGGCCCCAGAGCCCTGGCCGCTGGCCCTTTCTGCCCACAGGGGACCCCGTGTCTCCTGTTGTCCCTCTTCCTCTTAAAGGATGTTTTCCTTAAATTTCAGTGGCTCCAGTCAAGTACTGGCTAAATTAAGTTGATGACTAAGTGTTTTCAATTGCCAGTGTTCAGCAGGGTGGAGCACACCCAACCCCTGAGTCAAATCAATTCATGAAACTAAAATGAACCCAGTCATAATGATCTGTCCTATTGAAACGCGAACAGTTCGGTCTATAGTCCAATTATCAGGGGCTAGCATGAGAGGCAGTGTGGCATAATGGCTAGAAGGATGGATGTTTTAGCTTCAAAGTTTTCATTTTTATTTATTTTTAATTCTTTTTTTAGAGTTCCAAATTCTCTCTCTCCCTGCAGCCTCTCCCCCACTCATTGAGAAGGCAAGCAATACGATGTAAACTGCCTATAGGAAGTCATGCAAAACACTTCCACATTAGCTGTGTGGCAAAAACAAACAAAAAAGCAAGGGAAACACAGGAAGCGAACAAAGTCGGCTTCAGCTGCACGCGGGGCTCCTCAGTTCTCTCTCTGGAGGTACAGAGCCTCAGTGGGCCCTTCAGAACTGTCTTGGGTCATTGTACTCATCAGAGCACTAGGTTTTCACAGCTGATCACTGCACAAAGTGGCTGTCACTGTGTACGATGTTCTCCTGGTTCTGCTCACTTCACTCTGCAATCGGTTCATCTGAGTCTAGCCAGGTTTTTCTGAAGCCTGCCTGCTCATTTCTTATAACACAATGGTATTCCATCACAGTTATGTAGCACAACTTGTCCAGCCATTCCCCCATTGATGGACATCCTCTCATTTTCTAATTCTTTACCGCCACAAGGGGAACTGCTATAAAATATTTTTGTACAAATAAGTCATTTTCCCTTTTCTTTGATCTCTTTGGGATACAGACCTAGTGGTGGTGCTGCCTCGTCAAAGGAGTACTTAACAGTTTCATAGCCCTTTGAGTGTAGTTCCAAATTGCTCTCCAGAATGGTCGCATCAGTTCACAACTCCACCAATAATGCGGTGTCCTTATTTTTCCACATTTCCTCCAGCGTTTGTCATTTTTCTTTTCTGTCATGTTAACCAATTTGATAGGCATGAGGGGATGCCTCACAGTTATTTTAATTTGTATTTCTCTAATCAATAGTGATTTAGAGCATTTTTTAATGTGACCATTGATAGCATTGATTTCTTCTTTTGAAAAACTGCTGGTTCATACCTTTGCCCATTTATCAACTGTGAATTGGCTCCAATTTTTATATGTATGACTCAGTTCTCCCTATGTTTTAGAAATAAAGCTTTTATCAGAGAAAATTGCTCTAAACCCCCCCCCCATTTCCTACTTTCCTTCTAATTTTGGCTGCGCTGGTTTTGTCTGTGCAAACCCTTTTTAATTTCACGTAATCAAAATTCTGCCTTACCCTTCACATGATTCTGTCTCTTGTTTGGTCACAAGCTCTTCCTTTATCCACATTTTTCCATGCTCCCCTAATTTACTTATCACTTTTTATGTCCAAATTATGTATCCATTTTGACTTTATCCTGATATATGGTGTGAGATGTTGTTCTAGGCCTAGTTTCTGCCAGATTGCTTTCCAATTTTCCCAGCAATTTTTGTCAAAAGGTGAGTTCTTACTCCAAAAGACTGGCTCTTTGGGTTTATCAAACACTAGACTACCGTGGTCATTTCCTGCTGTATACTGTGTACCTGATCTATTGCACTGATCCCCCCTCTGTCTCTTAGCCAGGATCAGATTATTTTGACGATCATTGCTATGTAGCATAGTTTTAAACCTGGTACTGCCAGGCTGCTTTCCTTCGTGGTTTTTTTTTTGCATTGATTCCCTTGATATTGTTGATCTTTTATTCTTCCAGATGAGATGCTGTTTTTATTTTTTCTAGCTCTATAAAGTGATTCTTTGCTAGTTTGATTGGTATGGCACTGAATAAGTAAATTAATTTAGGTAGAATTGGCATTATTATATTCGCTCAGCCTACCCATGAGCAATTGATATTTATCTAATTGTTTAGATCTGTCTTTATTTATACAAAAAATGGTCATTGTGCTCATATAATTCCTGAGTTTAGGCAAAAACACTCTCCAGTACCTAATGTGGTCTGCAGTTACTTTAAAGTGGGGTTTCTCCTTCAATCTCTTCCTGTTGGGTTTTGTTGCTAATAGGTGAAAATGCTGATGACTCAGATGGGTTTATTTTATATCCGGCAACATTGCTAAAGTTGTTAAAAGCTGTTCATTGTTTCCACTGCAACCTCTTTCTGACCAGTTTTCCAATCCCCTTACCGCCTCTGGGCTGAGGGCTTCCAAGCTAGCTGCTACTTCCATCTGTGCCCCAAGCCCCATCACGGGTGTGGCTACTGTGTGTGCTCCAGGCAGGCGCCACCTCGGTGTCCCTCAGTGTCCAGGACCTCTCCTCTAAGCTGTCTTAGGCTGGAACGTCTCTCACCCTGCTGCTCCAGAGTTCAACTTGAAGGGCTATTTTAGAGCTGTTTGGAGAGGAGTGAGGAGAGCTCAACTGTAAAGCTTCCTCTGTCCTGCCATCTTGGGCACAGTCAGGAAAGCGTGGATTCAATAGCCCAATGGTGCTAGGTAAGTCAGGCAACTTTAAGACCACAACTAAGGTGGAGTGACCTGGGCTTTGCTTCAGGGCAATAGTCTTTGGAAGGGTTTTCCTCTTTTTCTGGTAGCCACTAACTCTCTCCACCAAGTTCTCATTACATCCTGGTGTTGGGAGTATAACTTCCACCTGGCAATCTTCCCCTACTGTGTCCCTCATCGTGCCCACCCCACTTCTCCCTCTCCCCCACGGTCACGAGATCAGGTGGCATTGACTACACTGCCAGAATGGGAGCTAGAACCTTTCTCCAGGCATCACTGTGCCTAGTCTCATATTGTTTCCATGAAAGTCAGCTATGTGGGATGAGGCGCTGGAGCAGGGATCCCTGGGCCTTCTCTCCCTCGGGGTGACTTCTCCCCAGCCCAGCCACATCCTACCCATTCTTCTTCTCCCAGAGGCAGCTTCCTCGTCATCTGCTTGGAGGGCTCCCCTTGCCCTACCCCCCAACCATCCCTATACTTGCCCCTCTGCTAATCCAAGCTAGGCCTCCTCCACATAAGCAAGCCAGACCCCTTGGGAAAGGCCTAAATGAATAGGATGGAGCTTTAGCTGTGGAATGGGCAAAATGAGCTCCAGACTCATTCAGATGTGATCTAACTGCTCCGACTGGCTTCACGTGAAGATTTTGGAGTGGGGATTGGGGGAGGCAGGAGGGAGAGGACCTAGGGGCCAGAGTATATGAAAAGCAAGGGACTTCACCTGGGATGGAGTTACATGGTGTGCTGCTGAAGAGTCATTAGACAAGATCTGGAATGGGAGGGGAGATTCCTTGGAGAAGAGAGAGCCATTGGGAGGGGAGCTCCACTGGATGGGAGAATCCACTGGGGGCTTGTGTTGAGGCAGGCAGGGCCCCTAAAGACTCTCCAGGCTGCTGGTCCTTCCAGGGTGGTCCTACCCAGTGCGGAGGCTCCCTTTGCTCTCCATTTATGGCCCCCCAGAGGTCACAGCCCACTGAACCTTATGGACATCAGCCTGTTGCTCACTCATTCAGTTGCATCCCACTCTTTGTGACCCTGTGGACCAGAACATGCTGCTGCCGCCCATGGAAACAGTTTTCTTGGCAAAGATACTGAGGCTGGTTTGCCACTTCCTTTTCCAGCTCACTTTACTGATGAGGAAACCGAGGCAGACAGAGGTTAAGTGACTTGCCCAGGGTAATACAGTTACTAAGTGTCTGAGGTGGTGTTTGAACTCAGGTCTTCCTGACTCCAGGCCCAAGCACTCTCTCCAGTGTCCCTGTCGCTGCCCCGGACATTAGCCCCAGCATGGCTCTGAGGTCTCGCTTTGGACATCACAAGCTCACTCCCTCCTAATCAAAGCGCTCCCTCCAAGGTGACCCAATGGCTGGCTCCAGGCTCCTTCTCAGCCTTCTTTCTACCAGGCTTCTCTCAGCTTTCAGCGCCACAATTCTGTCCCTTTCCTGAATTTTTGGTTCCTCCTTGGGGTCCTGCAGCTGAACAGATGTGGCTCTCCTCCCGCCTGTCTGTCTGCTCCTTCTAGCTGACCCCTCCCTGTGCCCACCTCTGTCCTAGGACATTCCTTTCCCCTCCCCTCCCCTCCCATCCCTTTTCCCTCCCTTCCCACCCCTCCTTCCTTTCCCTTTCCCTCCCCTTCCCTCCCCTCCTCTCCCTCCCCTTCCCTTCTCTCCCTCCCCTCCTCTCCCATCCCTTTCCCTCTTCTCCTCTCCCTCCCCTCCCCTCCCATCCCTTTCCCCTCCCTTCCTATCCCTCCCCTCCCATCCCTTTCCTCCCCCTTCCCACCCCTCCTTTCCTCACCTTTTCCTCACCTTTCCTCCTCTCCCTCATCTCCTCTCCCCCTCCTCTCCTTCCCCTCCCCTTCTTCCCCCCACCCAACATCTATATCCATATATCTCCTCTTCTCTGCTTCTTGGAACACCCCTCTTCCTTCAGCATGCAGCTGTCGCATCCACATGAAGATTGCTCTGATCACTGCCCTCCACTTGTCCCTTTGGAGGTTTACTCCCTGCCTCTTGGAATCACCGGCATTAAGACCAGAGTTCTAACCTGACGTTAGAGACTTGCTAGCTGGGCAGATTACCCAACCTCTGTTTGCCTCAGTTTCCTCCACCATAAAATGGAGATGAAAATAGTGCCTCACTTCTTGTGAGGACCAAATGAAGTAACATTTTTTTTGGAGGGGGGCTAGGCAATGGGGTTAAGTGACTTGCTCAGGGTCACACAGCTGGTAAGTGTTATGTGTCTGAAGTCAGATTGGAATTCAGGTCCTCCTGATTCCAGGGCTGGTGCTCTATCCCCTGCACCACCTAGCTGCCCCTGAAATAACATTTCTAAAGCGCTTTGCCCAGTGCCTGGGAGGCAATGAGTGCTGCAGTCACCATCAGCATCACTGTCTCTTTAGCGGTGTGTATATGCCCTCTCCTCTGCCTGGGGCAGGGATTGTTCTGTTGGGGGTTTTCCTGAAGAATTTTGGGGCCCTAAGGTTTACTCCTATGAGCCCGGGACAGGGCCTTCCAAAGGCCCTTTTGGCTCCACTCCCCACCCGGTGTGATGGAGAGGACTCTCTGGGCAGGAAGATTGGCATTTATCCTGAGTGATTGATCCTCATTAGAGGTGGACTCATGTGGCTTTGCCTAATTTCTGATCGCCACTCTGACTGATTGTGAACCTGCTTAGCAGGGGGGAGCAGGCCAGATGAGCTCTTGAAGTGCATTTTTAGGTGGTCAGATTTTGAGTGAAGTGTATTATTTCTCCATTCAAACCGTTGGATTCTCTCTTGCTTTTTTCAGAAGCTGCTAAGAGATTTATTTTCCCTGAATAACGACTTGTTCTGTGACTTCTAAGGACCGAGATTGTCCGAGCCACTGCTCACTGTCCAGTTCACTGGAGCGCGCAGCCATTTGCTAGAAATTAGCCCACATCCTGAGGAGTACATAATGCTCATGGCCCCCAGGCCATGAGGGGCTGGTTTTTGTCTAGGAAAAGATAGCTGGGTTTCATGACAGAGTCCCTTGTTTCAGGCACCCCAGGGAGTGTTGGCCAAGAGGGTCTTGGGAATCCCCATCAGAGAATCACCGGAGGGTACCTCAGCAAGCCCTGGGAGCAAGCAGACCCTGCCCTGCTCAGCCTAGCCTTCTCTGCCTCCTAGAACCATGGGCACCTCTCTGTGGGCACAGAGCCCGACATTGTATTGGGACGTGAGGAGCTGGAGGCTGCCCGACTGATCGTGGACGGGGTACATGGCGCAGATCTGGGCTGCCACGCAGGCGGCCTGGACAGTTTCTGCTTCTTACAGAACTCAGCCCAGAAGTGCGGCAGTGCCCTCTCATCATTCTGTTTGGCTGGCTCAAGCCCATGAGCCCGCTTATTGCTACCCAGCTTCAGAAGGCCCTGGCAATCCTCTGGGCAGCCTCTACGGTGCTGGGAGTCACGAGGAAGCTGGCTGTGGCTACATTTGCAATCACCAATAGATAACCACACGAGCTCCTAAGAGAACACAGGGGGCACAGGTCTCAGAGAACAAGGGTAACGTGGTGGGAAAGGCACAGGAACAGGGACCCTGAGCTTTTGCTCTACAGCCAGCTTGGCCGAGCCCCTGGGGCTCTGACAGTGGTCCTGGCTAAGAAATCAGTGGCTTCAGCTGGGCCCGACTGCGAAAACCTCCCATTACTGAGAGGAAGTGTGATCCGGCCGGCTCTGGGCCCTGGCTCCCCTGTCACTTTCTAGGTCCCCTTGCTTCTGCCATTACTGTGCTGTGCCATGCTCCCTCCCTCAGATGTCCATCACCAGACAATCCTCCCCCTGGCAGATAGCATCACTACTATTAAAATAATTGGTAGTAGTAGCCAGAATTTATATAATGCTACTTCATTTGATCCTCACAAAAAACCTTGGGAGCTCAGTGCTCCTACTGCCCCATTCTACAGATGTGGAAGCTAAAGCTGAGAGAAGGCGGTGACCTGCCCCTGGTCACACAGCCTGGAGTGTCTGGGCATCATTGGAACTTGGGAACAGCACTCTATGTGCTGTGGTGCCACCTTGTAGCCAAGTTAGGAGCAGAGGATGGAGGCCACTAACAATGTCCACACCACAATCCTGGTTTCCGGCTTCTTTGTTTTCCCTCTGAGCGGGGCACAAGAGGCTGCAATCATCACCACTGGAATGAGCGTCCCCAGTGAGGACATTACCACCCCACCAAGGGATCACAATGTGGATTTGCATGAAATACAAACTGCTGATATTTGAGGGGCGAAATTGCTTTCTGGGGGTGGCTCCCCTTTCTGACCCTCAGTTTCCTGACCTGTAAAATAAGAGGGTGGGGACAAGGCTTGCTTTAGGATCCCTTCCTAGCCGTGAATTTCCCCGCAGTGGTCCATGCTGAGCTCCCCTCCTTCCACGGTGACTGCTCCAGAGAAGGAGCTCTGAGCCCCTGCTCCAAGGGCCAGGAAGCAATGCTCTGCCCGCACGGATGGATCTGTGAGATCCCTAGTGTGCGTAGCCCCTCCGACCCCCAGGGCAGATTGTGACCTGTCCATCCAGGCCATCTCAGCCTGCGTGGCTGAGGTGCCACCATTGATCTTTCATGGAGAAGCCACCCCACGGCGTGGTTACCATTCTGTGGGATGAATGCTACCCTTGAGTATTCCAAATGCTCTCCCCTTCACTGAATTCAGCACTACTGAGTGCTCTGTGCTGTGCTAGGCAACGGGGTTACAGCGACAAGAAGGGAGGACAGTCCATAGGTGCTGGTGGTAGTCGCGGCCAAAGAGTACGTATTTAATGCTCACACAGACATCCATCAGAGCAGCAGCCGAAGCAACCGGGACATTTAGGAGCATCGCCAATGGGAATCCGTCACCCCGGTCAGTGAAAATCCTGCTCTGATCAAGCTGGAGCTCATCGGTCTAATGAATGCTCCCCCGCCCCGCCAGAATGTCCAGCCTTGTTTTTTAGGGAGGGACATGTCTGCTCCAGAAGCTGGCAGAGCGCTGTGCCCGCCCCTGCTTCCTCCAGAGCCAGGATTTGTAGTTCAGAGACCAGGGGGAAGCGTCCCCTGAATTCAGAGAGAGGGAAGATGAGGCTGGGACAGACAGTCCGACACACGGGGTGATGCTTGTGACGGCGTTCAGCCTCAGTCTGGTGACTGACAGCCCAGAACTAGCGCCCCTCCTCCACCTCCATCTTAATGACAAAGGGAGAGAGAACAAACATCTGCCTTCCCAACCCAGTGGTCCCATCCAGAGGGTGTTGGTCTTTCAGGGTTATGCCTCATCTTATCCTGTAACCTCCAACAACGTCCCCACGGGTGATGCTAGTGAGTCCATGACTCTCTAAGGGTAGGGAGGCAGGAGGGGGAGGGGAGAAACCAATGTCCCCCACCCTGCATCCCCTTCAGAAAGTTCTGTAGGGACAGAGCATCAGTAAGCACTCCCACCCCCACCTGACCCTTACAGTGCACTCTGGAGGATGGACACACACACACACATACCACACACACATGCACGCACACACACACACTCGGAGCTTGGCTTCTTTCCTGTCAAGATAAGATAGAATCTGTCCCAAGCTAGTCTTTTTTGACCAAGGGGAACCTTCTCAATATGAACCCCTTGACCCCACAGCCATCTGCGGCCGCCTGCTGTCTCTGCTTGGCCACATTCTGACTGCTAATAATCCCTGCTCTGTAAGCAGGGAAAATGCCAGGCTGGAGTGAGAGGTAGGAGGGGGAAGAGGGAGGACCAGGACCCGGCTTCTAGGACCCTAGATTCAGGAGGTTAGACAGATGTGCGTTTAGCTTGTGGTCACGTGCCAAGAAAGACACGCATGCGGGCGACGTCAAGGGAAGCAAGCAGGCAGGCATGCAGGAAGGAAGATGAATGCAGTGTCCTCTGGTGTGGGGAATGGCCCGTCTCCCAGAAGTCCTCACCATGAGCCTCCTCACCACTCCTGAGAAGCCTTCTCTGGCCGAGTGCTGGAAAGAAGGAAGGGGACAAGCTTGCCAAGTGCCTGCCACGTGCCAGGCCCTGGGCTAAGCCTCTCAATGCGTCCTATCTCAGATTATCTCACAACAAGCTGGGGAGGTAGAGGCTATTATTATCCCCACTTTCCATTACAGGAAACTGAGGAAGGAAGAAGTTAGTGATTTGCTGAGGGTCACACAAGCTGATGAGAGTCTGGGGCTTTGGAGACTGGGCTCCTGACACTACAAACAGAGAGAGCCCACGGTGGAAGTTCAGTTATCAATGTCAAGGGGGGGGGGAGGTCCCACTTCCAGAACACCCACGTGGCCCCGGTGGCACTTTGGGCATCCAGCACCCTTGCAACACGCTCTTCCTTCTGCCTCCTGGGAGGGTGCTCCAGGGATTGGGTGCCCTGGAGCGGGGAAGGGTGCAGAGAAACAAGAGTCAGGGATGGGCAGGGCCCAGAATCCTCTTGGCCAAGATAAGACCATCCTGGTTGCGAGTGGGCCAAGGGCTCCAGGCTCCACTCTGGGCTTGGCTGTGTCTTAGGCAGAAGCAGGGTGGCAGAGAGCCAGGTACGCTCACCTTCATCCTTGAACGCAGGCTTTGCGACATTCCCGTTCACTGTTGAACCGGTTGCTGGTGCCTCCGCAGCCGCCGTACCAGAAGCGGGCACACGCATCCACCTCCTTATCGTAATACCACCGGACGACGTACTCCCCACAGTCTCCGGGTCTCAGGGCCTCCAGGCACCGGGGATCTGGGGGGGCCCGAAATGCAGCGAGTTAGCTTTGAGTTTCCTCTATAGACCAGGGGATAGAAGCAGGTCGTTCTTGGAAGACAGCTGGAGGAAGCGACTTGGCTCTTAGTAGGGGGTTTAAAAGGCTGAACACAGGATGGGGCACTTGGGGAGCATAAGCTAGACCCCAAGTGGGTCAGTCCCTTCGTTAACTTAGCAAGGGCTGTGAGGGCTTCCTGCACACATGAGCACAGAATGAGTGCGTGAGGTGTGCTCACACTAAAAGGAAGTGGAGCGTGACCTGGGTTCGAATCTGATACCAGTGCTCATTTGCTAGCTGTGTGATTCTGAGTAAGTGGCCCCACTTCTCTATGGCTCCACAAATAATGCCAATTAATGACAATATCCACATGCTCTGCCTCACAGAGGGTGAATAAGGAAAGCCCTTCGACCACTATAGAGCCAGAGAAAACACTGATTAAAGTCTTCCTAAGGGCCAAGGCATTAGTTTGGAATTAGGGTCCAGGAAACAAGCATTTATTAAGCACCTACTGTGTGTCAGGCACTGTGCTATGCACTTTACAGTATTACCTCATCTGAACCCCAAAACATCCCTGGGAGGGAGTGTTATTATTACCTCCATTTGCAGTTGAGGAAATGGAGTCAGATAGAGATTGAGTGACTTGCCCGGGGTCATACAGCCAGTAAGTATCCGAGGCCAGATTTGAGCTCAGGTCTTTTTAATTACAGGCCCAAGCGCTCTGTCCACTGTATCATCTGGCTGGGGTCAGAGTTAAGAGTCTGAGAGGGTTAGGGATCAAATGGGGTCCAATAGAGGTAGCTCTCTGCAATCGAATGCAAAGGGTGTGATGTCTGGGGAAGCACCTTTGGGACAATTCCAGGAGGTTCCCAGGAGACAGGCCCCTCATCTCCTTCTCATCTATTTTCGGTTTCTTCTGCTGAGTCTCTAGACTTGGGCGGGCTTTTCCTTTCACATAAATGGGAGTCAGTACTATGAGGCAACACTCTATAGAGGGAAATCTATCAAAGACAGCTTCTTCCTGTGTTAGGGTAATGAGGTGTCCACACAACTGTGGGACATTAGCCGTCTTGTCCAGGCCGCTGTCGTCCCACTATGGTTTATTTATGGGGTCAGAATTGAGGGTTCACTTTTGTAGCGTAGGGACTCCCAGAGCTCATCTGTGGGTTTTTGTCTTCTCCCTCCTCTGTCTTGACATCTACCAACCCTCTTCTTCCTCTTTGACAAAAGTATTCCTGTTTCCATAGCTGTCTTGGGCTCATAGGCCTTGTAGGCTTTCATCTAGAAGCTTCCAATTCTACTCTAATGCTCCAAAAGCGCATAGGAAGATTAATGTGTTTAAGCTGTCTGTCTGAGGCCTGGGACCAGCTGAGTCCTCCTCACACCTCATCAGTCCCTGCTTTGAGAGGAGGAGGAGGACGGGACAAGAAACGCCCCGTAGTGGTGGGGAATGTTTGCAAAGGTGAACCAGTGAGACAGTCTAGGGGGCAGCTCCTCTCCAGGGAGACAGGAACGAACCTGATTCAGGGCATAGCCCAACAATGGCCATGACAACGGTGATGACGATATTGTGCTGGCCTTCCTGCGCGATGGGGCAGGGGGCCTCCGGCTCCATTCTCTGGGAGCCCCTGTTCTGCATCATCCCACAGACAAGAAGCTGAAGTGGAGAGGCAAAGCGGCGCCCCAAGGGTCCGAGAGCCGGTCCTCCACCGACCCTAACACCTCCTTCTCTGTTGCTCTCACTCCCCACACCTGGAGGCCAAGGCAATCTCGCTGACGATGAGAGCTGTCCCAAGGGGCTGGTTGGGGTCTCCTCCCTGGGGTTCTCAAAGAGAGGCTCGATGCCCTTATGTTGGGGACGATGTTCACATGGGGCCTGGTCTGGGGTGGCCTCGGAGAGATTCTGGGGTTCCGGGAACCAGATGCCAGGTGTCCTAACCTCGTGGCCCTAACCCAAACTCCAGGCCATACATGGAGAAATCAGAAGATGGTGGTCTGCTCAACCCGCTAAGAGAGGAGAGGTGAATACACTGCTCCCCCTCCCAGTCCCATTCAGTCTGAGACACTTTAGAACATTAGCAGGTCTAGACATCATTGCTTGTTTTATAGATGAGGAAAGGGAGGAGCGCGTCACTAGTCAGCCTTCTCACCTCGGCGTGCAGTCTTGGGGGTGGCCGCAACAAAAATGGGCTGACGGGTGCTAGCGTCCTCCTCCTGTGTCCCGCCACCGTCCAAGGGGCCGACTGACTGTCTGTGGTCCACAGGCACGTTGCTTGGCGTCGTCACAGCAGGGACTTCACTCCTGAGGGACGGGAAAAGGCCGGGTCCTTCGTCCTGGGCTCCTGGAGGACTGAGCTACAGGAAAACTGAGTCAGTCCCGATGCTCCCTGCTCCAGGGAGCTTTCAATGCCTCTGTCCTTGACACCTCTCCTGCCCCCATCAATCAGTGACCACTTACAGGCATCGTCTCTGGGCCAGCCCCACACTATAGCAGCTGGCAGGACAAAGATGGCACAGGAGAGACCCCTCTTGGGGGTACTATCCCCAGAGCCTGAGGTGCCAGCTCTCCAAGCCCTGCCTCCAGCCCAAGTGCCTCCCAGGAAGACAGGGTTCGAGGGCACAAGATGGAAAGAAGGGAGAGGGCCCAGGAGTGACCCTTTGCTCAGCTCCCTCCCCTGTGCCCCATTTTCAGAGTCATTATGACTTGTCAATCCTACTTCCATGACAGCCTTCATATCACTTGACCACCAGCTCTGCTTCCAGACCTGGCCCCTCCAGTCATCATCTAGGAATGTGACCCATCCCTACCACCGCTAACACCAACAGGGCAGGCAAGTGTCCCAGGCAAGGCAGACCACCGTCACCTCCCCTCAAACCCCAGGCCCCAGACCTGAGAAACTGGCACTTCTGCTTCTAGCCCAGCCCTGAAGCCACTGTCCAGTGCTGTCACTCCTCTCCCCACGGTAGTCAGAGCTACTGAAGACCCAGGAAAGATAGTCTTTGGCTCCAGAATGTGGCTTCAGCAGGAGAGCTGGGTGTATCTCTCCTCAGAGGCAGCTCAATGGATAGAGTGTTGGGCCTGGAGTCAGGAAGACCTGAGTTCAAATCTAGCTTCAGATCTGACTAACTTTGTGACCCTGAGCAAGTCACTTAATTTGCCTGAATCCACTGGAGAAGGAAATGGCAAACCTATCTTTGCCAAGAAAACCCCATGGATGGTAGGGTCCAGAAAATTTTGTGTGTACTTTTAATGGAATTTGTTGTTATTGTAGGTCAGTCATTTTCAGTTGTGTCTGACTCTTTGTGGCCCCATATGGGGTTTTCTTGGCAAAGATAATGGAGTAATTTGCCGTTTCCTTCTCGAGCTCATTTTACAGATCAGGAAACTGAGACAAACAGGGTCGAGTGACTTGCCCAGGGTCACATAGCTAATAACTGTCTGAGGCCAGATTTGAACTCAGGTTTTCCTCCTCTGGGCCCTGTGCTCTATCTACTGAGCCACCTAGCTGCCCCATTTGATAGAATGCTAGCATTTCAAAAGTGTTTTAAAATGAGCATTGGGTGTGACCATCTGCTGCTGTTGTCACAAGTGAAAATGCTCAAGGACCAGTAGCCAAGTAGATGTTCTTCAAAGGGAGACTGGTTGGGCCATGCAGAGGTAGTAGACAGGCCAGAACATTATGGCCCTGTGAGCGAGGACAAGCCTGGGAAGGCTTCTCTGAACAGATGCAAAAGGAAGTCAGCAGAACCAGGAAGACAATCCCTTCTGCGCAACAGACGATGGTGTGCAAGATGGTGCCCTCGCTCAGACCCAGTGGACGCACCGGTTAATTGCGCTCACTTGCTTTTGTCCTCTCTTCTTTTGGTCCTTCTTTACAAGGGCTATGTCTCTAGGGAGCGGAAGAAGAGGGATACACTTGTAAAGGAAAGTGACGTAGAGATGAATGGATCAGGAAAAAGAACTGTAGATGAAATGCTTAGTAAGAGCTCCAAACCTCAGCCCCTGCTGGGCTCTCCCCTTCCTCTACCTCCACACTGAGTCTCACCTAATCACTGGAAGCAGGCAGGTGCTCACAAGATACACACTTCAAGGAAGGGCCAGTGATGAAGCCTTTGGACTTGCAATTCTAAGTAGGAGCGCACAAAATGCAGGCAATGGGCGGGGTGAGCTAGAGATACTAAAAAAGCCAAAGTCCTGATTAATCTTATAGGTATCGCCTAGACTAGGGGGACAAGGCAAATGGTCAGCACGTGGTCCTGGAAGAGTGCACCTCATAAAAGAAATAGGACAGGTGCTTGGGAAGGGGGGAGGGCAGCACGTTTGTGAAGAAGACCTCTTCATGTCAAGAAATCCAGGGCCCAGAATCATGTGGAGGTGAGCAGGATGTAGCCACAACCTACTGCACAAGAGACCCCTGGGACACACAGAGGAAATGGAAGAGAAACTGAGGAAACAGAGCCTCTGCAAGCCCAGGGATTCCAGGCTGCGGCCACGATGGGACCGTTGGCCTTCTTCTGCTGGCTCTGATTCTCAGCATGAATTGGAAGGAGGTGGCAGCTCCAGGCGCAGCAATGGGATCCTTGCCAGGGAGCCCCTGTGCCATGCACGGTTTGTGAGAAAGGAGAAGAGGGAAGCTGGGCCCCGTCAGAGGGGAGCCCAAGACTTGGGAAGAGGCCACTTCTGAGGAAACATAAGTGGAGTGCGGCAAGCACTAGGTTCCTGCCAGGGAAGTCTGGGCAGAGGGAAGCTCCCCAGAATGACTTTCTCAAGGCACAAAGAGGATGATTCCAAACAGGGATCGTCTAAAAGGCTGATATGGGCACGCAGGGAGCTCAGTGAACTGAACTTTGAAAGAAACATGCCCCCAAAATGGGAGCAGAGGCCCAGAGAGCCAGGGACACCTGTCCCACCATCCCCCCACCAAATGTCATTACCCAGAACGTATGGCACAAACTCCATGAAGACGAGACCTGGCCTCATGTGCCCATGGCTGGCTGTGGGTGGGGACTGGGTGTGCGGGCTGCCAGGCGACTCCATGCCCTTCCTCTTCAGGGGTGTCCACCCTGACTGACCACACACCCCTACGCTCAGCCTTGAGGCTCTCGGCCCATCCCCATGCCCCGTATCTGGGGGCCTTCACTCTGCAAGGGTTTTTAGGCCCTTCAGCTGGTTCCCCTAGCCATAGCCATCCAGCAGCTTCCCAGAGGTCCAGAGCCCTGCTGAAGAGGACAAGGTCTCAGGAGACTTTGCCCCAGTGGGCTGAGGAATCTTGGCTGAGTCACTCCACTTTATCCTAGGGTCTCTTGCAGCTCTAAAGGACTGTGATTCTACGATAAGAAGATGTGCGTCCACCCCACAGCTGGTTGGCAGCGGCCCCAGGTCCCAGCTGGCTCTGGACGCCCAGCCCCACACTGCTTTGCTGCAGGCCAGTGCTGCTGGCCAGTCCTTCCCCGTGGCTGAAGGGGGAAAGGAGAGGAGCAGGGTCTCTTCCCCCCCAGCTGCCAAGGGGACAGCAATGGTGTGCCCCTTCCCCCTTGCACCCTGAGTCTTAACTGGGGTTCAGGCCAGGGCAGCAGCATCTCTGTGCTTGGGGAGGGAGGTCGCCCAGACCTGGGCCACTCTGACCCATCATCCCTGATGGAAGGGGGAGGCCTGGTTAAGACAGAGCAGGGGGTTGGGGGGGGGGAGAAGGTCCTGCCCCCAGGCCATTCTAGACCCATCAACAGTCCCTGAGGCCACCTCTCTAGGACATAACTGCTCCATGCTATTGACACCACTGTCCTCCCTGGTGCATTGACCCCAGTGACTTCATGCAGGAAGTGACCCCACCTGTCTGTCTGTGTGGGCAGATGGACCTGGCACGTCTCTCTGTTATGTCTCGTTCACTTTCCTTACCAAGTTACCTGGGATCCTTTTTTTTCCTAAAGTGGGGCATTTGCCCCAGACAGTCACCTCCCCAAGCAGCCCCAAGACAAGAAATGGCCCCACCCTAAGCCCCATGATTGCCTGAGATCCCCAGGAGGATAGGGGAACGCACAGACACACATACATGTTGTATGTACATGTATAATCACAATAAAATCCTCATTATCTGAAGAAAACCTTCCATTAGCACAGTGCAGCCAACGACAGTTCCACCCAAATTTGGGGGGAGGGGAATTGATCTCCAAGCTGTGGCAAAGGTACCAGAAAGCCCCCCAGCACCCCCCAGTGGCTGCCCCAGCGTTAGAGCCTTCCCTCTGCCCATTCTTCCCCCTTTCTTCTCTCTTGATCTTGTCTGTACATAGGTGTTTGCCTGTTGTCTCCTCATTGGACCGTGAGCTCCTTGAGGGCAGGGACTGGTTTTTGCCTTTCTTTGTATCCCTAGAACTTAGCCCAGTGCCTGACATGCAGTAGGTCCTTAAGGAATGCTAGTGACTGGCTGGCTGACTGATGTCTAAAGTCCCCTCTCAGCGAAGAAACCCTGCCATTCCAATATGAAATTTGCTTAGACATGCAAGTTCTCCTGAGAAACCTGGCTCCACCAGAGGTGCCATTTGAGAGCCATCAAGCCCACGTCACCTGAGAGGAGGCTTGCCCATGACCCCAGAGCAGGGAGAGGTGGGGTTGAGCTGGGGAGCCCGGGGCCGATATTGAGAGCTCAAGCGCTGTGGACTTGTGCCAAGGACAGGCCTGGAGGAACTAGACGTTTCTAGACAACTCCCCTTCTTTCTGCTCATCAGAGTCCTTTCCCTTGGTGCTCCTCCTGGCCGACTTCCTTCTCCATGAGAATTTTAGATCCTGCTCGTCCTTTCCTGGAGCCCTCTGAAATCGGTTTTCCCAAACCTCTGGGACAGGTGAGTCACCTCCCAGTTTTGCTCCCAAATTCCCTCCCCCTGTCCCCAGGTTCCATCATTTGCACCCCTGCCATGATGTCCTCCCTTTTGGTCAGAACTCAGGCCAGAAGAGGATGTGGCCCTTGCTGGTTTCTCGGTTTCTGAAGGATGGACTCATTGAGGCGTGTCAGATAGTCCTGAGCTGGGCTGCTCTGCACAGAGGGTCTGAGACGAGGGTTAGGGTTAGCACGTCTTCCCTAGGGTCCCTCATGCTCCCCACCAGGTCTCTGCTTATCACATCAGGAGTAAACAAGCACAGATGTTCCAGAAATAACAGCCTGGACACCCTCACTTCCCATCCCAGGAGCTCATCTTGCAAACCCTCACTCCCTGATTGCCTTTCATGATGCATCTGCCCAGGATAGCTTGGTCTCTGGGGGCCACAGACACCAGGAGGCAGCACTGAGGAGGGAGCAGTCCTTGAGACCCCCACCACCTGGATGGTGGGCTTGCTTCTGCTCCCACAGAGAAAAGCAGGAAGAGTTTGTGAGGATCCTGGCCAGAGGCCTTAGGCACCCAGGTGGGAGCCCCCCAGGAGCCGTTGGGCCAGGCTTGCTCCAATGCCCCAGCAAGGTTGTTCCATGCAGGAGTGGCTGGGGATCCCTCAGAGAGAGCAGCCACCCTGTCCTTTGAGCATCTTACAGTGCACGTGGAGGCTCCCATTGGAACCATTCTGATCCAACACACATTTGTTGGTAGAGCAAAAGCTTCCTGAGGACAGGCACATTTTTCTCACTTGTATTCCAAGGCCTCTCACAGGACAGGCAGATGGGAGAGGGGCAGGGGATGGACAGACATCCATGAGAGAGGTCTGGGAGCCAGAGGGCCCAGGAGATGAGAGGTGGAGAGGAAGTGTGGTGGGAGAGAAGAGGAGGGTCAGGATGCTTGGGAATGATGCCAGTGAGCTCATCTCACCAAGGCTAGGCAGCCAGCCTGCACCTGAGCAAGAATCCCCCTCGGGTATCCAGCCCTGGGCTGCTGTGTGACTGTGACCCTGCACAAATGTACCCCCTGCCTCATTTAATGTAGTCACCACTCACACAATCGGAGGAAATGGACGGCTGTCACTCTTTTCAAAGCAAGCACACAAAGAGCAGCTCAGACCCAGGACCCCACCCCTCAAGCAGCTGACATTCTGCTGCACCAGCTGCCTGGGGGCCAGCTTTTATTCACCTGGGCATTAGGTAGAATGGAAGATCCCTGAGGGCCAGGGCCAGGTCATGCTTTGCCTTCCTATAGGAAGCACCTATCATGGGGACTGGCACACAGTCGGTGCTTAATAAATGCTCGTGATCATTTGGCATCTCAAGGTCTGCTCAGGATAACCTCAGCAGAGCTAAGCTTCAAGGCACCGACAGAATCAGTCAGTAGACCACCTAGGCACTATGCTAAGTACCGGGGGTGCAAAGAAAGGCAAATCCACAGTCCGTGCCTTCAAGGAGTTCCACACAGACAGAAGGTAACTGTGGAGGGGAAGTGGGGAGCGGGAGGGGCTGGCCTCTGAAGAAGGTAGAATTACAAAACCACATCACCTGCAATCTACATAGACCTAGCAGCAGCACCCCAGAAGCCACGGAGCACAGCCCACTCATTTCTCCCAGATGGGGGAACTGAGGCCAAGAAGTGACTTGCCCAGGGTCACACAGGGAAGAGGCAGCAGAGCTGGAATCTGGTCCTCCACCAGACGAGAAGGCTGGTCCCACGCTTTCCACTTGGGAAGGTGCTAACTTACCGACTCGGCGCTCTCCAGCTCCTCTAGCTCTGTGGGGGTGGCCACAGTTCCTCTTAGCTTAGTACCAAATCCAGAATGAAGAACTGAGGAGCCCAGAATCTGGTCGAGGTAAGAGTTAAAGTCCTCACAGATTTTTTGGAGCAATTTGTCCTCCAGGGCTGCCAAGAGAAATGGGAGACTTAAGACACGAGGCTGACCCCCTGAAGGTGGCTGGCCCCTTCCTCCTCAGCCTTCCAGGCTACATGTCTCAGACTGGTGAAGGGGGAGGGAGGAAGTCCCCCAACGACCTCGCCAGTCAAGAAGGCCTCCTTCCCAAGGAGCAGACTGCCTTGGTCCAGAAGGATTTGTGGAACGCCTGCCCTGGTGGCTGAGGGCTCTAGCTAACCCCCACCCCAGCCTCGTGGGCTCTGAATGTCCATGACTCCCACGTCTCTGGCCTTTGTTTGGGATGAGATCTTGAAGACACTTTTCCTCAGGGACACGAGATATTCTGCTCACCCTATGTCAGTAAAACAGGTTTGCTTTGCAACCCAATGTAGTTTATTCTATGCATTTAAAATGAGACTTTATTTATAGCAGCTCTTTTCTGGGGGCAAAGAATTAGAAACTGAGGGGATGACCATTAGTCGGGGAATGGCTGATCAAGTTGTGATACGTGTTTATGGTGGGATACTATGGGAAAGACTTGCATGGGCTGATACAAAGTGACATGTACTGTGTACAAAGTAACAGCAATATTGTGCTGCGAGTGACTTAGCTCTTCTCAGCAATACAACAACCCAAGACAATCCTGAAGGACTTACGATGAAATATGCCCAGAGAAAGAACTGACAGGATCTGAATACAGACTGAAGCACGCTTTTTTTTTTTACTTCCTTTGTTTTTCTTGAGGGTTTTTTTTTTGGTCTATGTTTTCTTTCATACCATGACTGTTACAGAAATGTTTTGCATGACTACACATGTAGAGCCTATATTAAATTGTTTGCCTTCTCAATGAGAGAGAAAGGGGGAGAATTTGGAACTCAAAGTTTTAAGAATGAATGTGAAAAATGTTTTTTACATGTAAAGGGGAAAAATAAAATACTAAAAAGGAAAAAGAAGGATTTTGAGAAGGGGTTGTCTGTAGGCCTCACCAGACTGCCCAAGCGACCCACAACATACAAAAGGTGAGGAACCCCGGGCATTGCTTAAGCTGGGACAAACCAGTGACCACTGGGCTGCAAGGAAGAGGAGATGCCACGAGAGGGGTTTGATGTGTGTGTGGCTGGGATGGGGGGCCCCAGGAAAAGGAGAAGGTCCAGGCCTCAGACCACTGCTGAGGGAAGATAGCATCAAACAGGATCCCTGGCGGGGTGAGGAATAGGGCTGAAAGCAGCCTCAGCTGCATGGATTCCCGAATAAAACACACTTGATATTAAACCTACAAGGTAGCCCTCTATCCGAGCTGGTAGCTCAGTGGATGGAGTGCCAGCCTCAGAGTCAGGAAGGCCTGAATTCAAATCCAGTCTCTGACACTTCCTGGCAATGTGACCCTGGACAAGTCACTTCACCTGTCTGCCTCCATTTTTTCAGCTGTAAAATGGAGATATAACCAACATCCCAGGGTTGTTGTGAGGACCAGACTCTGAGAAGGCTTTCAATGCCCAGAGAGTTGAAAGCGCTTCTTTACCCAAGGCCACATCCCCAGCTAGGAGCAAATCTGGCCCCAGATGAACTTTCTTTTTGGGCTCCCCCCAGGCCTGGCCTCAAGGAGTGTCCATTCTCCCAGGACCTTCCCAGGCCACGGGCCACAGACTGTGGCTGTGGATTTTTCTTGATTCCCTCCTCTTAGAGTCTGGGCATTGGTGACATCCGAGGATGGCCCGAAGGCAGCTCACCTGACCTCACCTTGCAGGCAGACATCCAGGTGAGAGCCTCCCATCTGACATTAGCGTGGGCAGGTAGCTAGGAAGTATGGCTTTGTCTCCCAGAGTGGGCGGCTCAGCCTGTCATCTGTGGGCATGGTTGGTTCAGGGGCTGGGCAGGGCATGCTTTGTTTGACATGAGTGGCTGGCACGGTGGATCATTGGCCAGCCACTTCCCCAGAGTTCACAGGGGATTTGTGGTCTTTTGTGCGCTGGGGCTCTTCCTCCTTCCCTCCCTTCCTCCCAGGTGTGTAGAAGGCTGTGTACTGTGGTGGGAAGTCAGGAGACCTAATCTTGAGGGGGACACTGGCTGTGTGACCGTGGCTGAGTCCCTGCCCCTTGGTGCCACCTGTGACTCTCACTGGGTTTGTCAGCTCGTCTCCGGAGCCCAGAGCCTGAGGCAGTCCTTGTCCTTTGGAAGTCCTGCCCACTCCCTGCTGGGCAGGCATGGCATGGCCCGCTCCAGGGAGGCCCTGGCATCATGTTTCCCCTGCTGGCTCACCAGGCTCTGGGGGTGAATGAGGAGGGGCCCTGTCAGTGTTCCTGGGGCTGGCAATGGCCCAAGCTAAGATAAAGCAAGGCACCTCCCAATGTGCCCGCACAGATGACAAGTAGGCGCAGGGCATGGCCCGGAGTGCAGCCAGCACCAGGAGCTACAGGGCCAAACACAGGGAAAGGCTTCAAGCCTGGCAGCCTTGGGCATGGACCTTGTGCCAGTAGGGGAGGGCCCTGGTCCTGCTTGGCAACACAGGCCAGGGCTAGGAGCTCTGGGGAAGGTACAAGGTGCTAACATCAGCTCCTTTCAAGGCAAAGTGGAATCAGCTGCCTTTGGAGGTAATGAGTTCCCCATCTCTGGGAGTCTTTAGAAAATGGCTACAAGGCAAGCACTTATTAAGCACCTACTGTCTACCAGGCCCCATACTGGGTACCGGGGCAGCAAAGGCAGGAACCAAGCAGTGCCTTCCCCTAAGGAGCTTCCAGCCCTCTCTCTCCTGGCTTTCCCAACTCCCTTCTGGGGAGGGAATTCCTTGGGGATCATGGGCATGCCTCCCTGGCTGGGGCAGTGGGGAGAAGATGGGGTGCAGGCTTAGGCTCCCCTTACCTGGGAGGGTTAGGAAGTCATCGATCTGGTAGACATGCTCACTGTCAGGGTCTGTGGCAATCAGGTCCATTTCTAGGCGGAAGACCTCAAAGTTGGGGTCATTCTCCTTCACCACGCCGATCACAAAGACCTCTACACTGGAGGCATTGGCCTTCTTCACCACCTGCTCCAGGTTCAACTCGTCACGGGTGTCCGCTTGCCCATCAGTGATGACCAAGGCCACCTTCCTCACCGAAGGCCTGGCAGACTGGAACATGGTGTTGGCCACATGTAGCGCGGAAGCCGTGTAGGTGCCTTCCCCCAGGTACGGCATGGCGTCCACGGTGCTCCAGAGGCGGTCCTTGCCGGAGAAGTGCTTAAGGTCGGCCACCACCTCCACTTTGTGACTGTAGTTGATGAGGCCCATGCGGGCACTGGCGTGCTCCATGGCCACACGCTCAATGAGCTTCTTGACAAAGTCTTTGATGAGTTGGAAGTTCTCTGGCCCCACACTCTCGGAGCTGTCAATCACGAACACCAGCTCCAAGGGACTCTCCCTACACTTGGCCCCACAGCCTGCAAGACCAGGATGGTATAGGTGAGCCTCCTGGGCAGCTGGGAGAGAAAGCCCTCAGGACCCCTGGCCCTGGGAGCCCAGAGCTGCCCCCCACCCCCGGCCGGCCAAGCCTCTGGCTCTGGACATTGCCCAATGGTGCAGCCCACAGTCCCCCTGGCTAGCTGAGCCTCTGGCCCTGGACTGGATGCTGCCTGATGGTGCAGCCCAGAGCCCTGGGAGTGTCCCCACCCCCCACCGTTGGCTGAGCCTCTGGCCCTCGACTAGATACTCCCCGAGGGTGCAGCTCAGAGAGGCTGTGAATGAGTATCACAGGGCAGGTTGGTAAGGATGGGGGACCCAGAACAAAGGATGTGGGGCAAGGCCCAGGCTGCTCCCTATCCACCCCCCCAATACATGCCGTACTACAGGTCGTGGAACCCCTGCGGGCTCAGCTGGGCTCAATCCCAGGGCCTCCAGCCACTTTCTGCCAGGCGTGTCTATCACTGACCTGTCAGGGGGAGCCCCAGGCTCTGGGCCTAGCCCTAGGGCAGTGTTGTGGGCTAGGGAGGAATCTATCCACACTGTTGTTAATAATAATAATAGCTGCTATTCAAATGAGGTTAACTAAGTGCCAGGCCCAGGACTGGGCTCTCCTGTCCTCTGACCCTCCCAACGATCCTGGGAGGCAGGTGTTATTATTATCTCCATTTTACAGATGAGCAAACAGAAGCCCACGAGGGTTAAGTGACTTGCTCAGGGTCACACAGCTGGTAACTCTCTGAGGCTGGATTTGAACTCAGGTCTTCCTGACTCCAGGCTCAGTGCTCTATTCCACCAACAGCTGCTCATGTGAATATCGGAAAACGAGTTATTGCTTCATTCCCCATTTCAAATCTTACCACATATTTCAATCAGCAGTTTGATAATTTCTTCTCTCTGGAAGGAAAAAAAAAGAGAAAACAATCATTTGTTCCAAAGGTATAGACACAGCTCTGCCGGCAGCTGGAGTTACCACCAACACAGGCCTGAGCGCCTGTGCACATGCATGTGCAAGCACTCGTGTCACGTGTCCATGCATGTTATGTGTGTGCAATGTGTTGTGTGTGTACATGCATTGTCGCATCCACATGTACACGTGTTGTATGTGCATCGCACTGTATTGTACTTATGGGCACAGTGTTATGTCCATATGTATACTGTGTTGTGTGTGCATGTACACGGGTCCCCTGGCAATCTCACCATATCATGAACCCGTCAGAGCCCTGCCCGTGAGTTTCGGGCACTGTCCTCACGCCATCCAACTGAGGCCCATTGCCTCTGGTGACCTTGCCGCCCTCCCCAGGCTTCCACAGTTCCTAGGCCTGCTGTGCTGGGCAGAGGGGAGGGGGGCCTGGTGAGGGGCCTTTGAGTGGCTGTCAATCAAACTGTAGTCCACGTGCTATTCTCTAGGTCAGGCTCGCACCCTGCTTAGCCATGCCTGGGAACATCTTTGCCAACCCCCACGGGCTCCTTGGAAGGTGGGAGAACAGTCCCCTGCCTTGTTCCAGCCAGAGTGCTAGGCCTCAGTCATGCCTGGAACCAGGAGGCTGCTCTTCAGGGATAACAGGGTCAGACCTCCTTAGAAAGGGAGGAACCTCTAGAGACGGATCATAGCTGCTGGAGGAGAGGGGTCAGCCAGGCAGAGAGGGGTGGGGAGAATGCACCTGGGGTGCAGCTATGGTTTGGGGTGCTGGGGAACCAGAAGCCTAGTTTGGTAGCTTATTATTTCACCTAAGGATAATTGCTAATCGGGGCTTTCTAGGAAGCTGAACGCCTTCAAGTGCTCCCAGCACCCTGTCACCATCAGCGCCCGGGGACAAAGCCCAGTCTCTCTGTCCTAGTTAGGATCTGAGCTGCCCTCCATGGCACTTCTTAGAGGCGCAGGATTTGGGCTTCCTTTCCACATTTACACCAGACTCCCAGTGCCTCCAGAGTAATGTTAGGACCCATAGGCCATTTGTGGTAAGGGGGCTGGGGGGGGTGAAGCATAACAGTAAGCCCACGGCTTTGTAAAGGCAACATGGCCACCCCACCTTGGGAATGAGCGCAGATACTCACAGTGAGTCCAAGGTCCCCTTTGGGTCCTGGCAGGCCCTAGGGAGCAAGAAGACAGTAACCATGAGCACACACTGCACACTTTTTACTAAGAAACAGGCCCACGAGGCCCCCAAACTAGCTTGCCTGTCTTCCTGGGGCTCCAGGCTCGCCGATCTCGCCCTGGTCTCCTTTCTTCCCCATGTCCCCTTGGCTGCCGGGCTCACCCTGATCAACACAGCAGAGACACAACAGTCATAGCAGGACAGGGAGGTGCTAACCCTGATAAGAGCAACTCTAAAGCCAGAGTCCCTGCAGGCAGCCTCTTGGCCCGAGGGCCTCCTTCATGTGCACAAGACCACACCACACTGGCATGGCTTGTTTTCCCTTCTCGCGTGCCCACGTCGACTTCCAGGATGATTCGTAGATGTGGGAGCCGGGGCACCCACCCGTGGATCAGACAGTGTCTCTGAGATGCCCTGGCCCAGAGCCTGGCCTATCATGGTCCTGCCCAGACAGGGATGTAGGCCTCTCTCTGTCTCTGTCTCCCTCTCTCTGTGTCTGCCTCTGTCTCTCTGTCTCTGTGTCTGTCTCTCCCTCCCCACCATCTCTCTGTCTCTGTCTCCCTCCCTCCTTCCTCCTACTCCCCTCTTTCCCAGGTTCTGACTCCGAAGGGCCGGATGGAGTTTGGAAGGAGTTTTGGAAAGGGAGGCATCTCCAGATCAGGCCTGGGAGGTTTTCTAAAATGTAAAGAAAAAAGATCAGGAAAAGAAGCCATGGATCCAGTGGCCGACACTTACCTTTTGGCCAGGCAGGCCATGGCCCATGGCACCCTTCTGCCCCTGAGGGCCCTGGGGGCCCTGCTCCCCCTGCAAGAACACAGCAAGAACACGTTTTCTCCCCATTCTCTGAAAAGGCGGGCAGGTCCTCCTGGGGAACTCAGTAGATCCCCTGTGTGCCCAGCAGATCCTCCCACTGTGACCCAGCAGATCCCCATGTCCTAGCAGATCTCCATGTATAACTCAGTTGATCCCCCTCTGGGACCCAGAAGATCCCTCATGTGGCCCAAGAGGTCCCTCCTCTATGCCTCAGAAGATCTCCATGTATAACTTAATTGATCTCCCAATGTGTGCTAGCAGATCCCTCTCTATGTCTCAACAGATCCCCCTCTGTACCTGAGAAGATCCCCCTGTGTCCCAGCAGATCCCCCTCTGTGACCCAGCAGATCTCTCATGTGACCCAACAGATTCCCTCCTCTGTACCTCAGAAGATCTCCATGTATAACTCAGTTGATCTCCCTCTGTGTCCTAGCAGATCCCCCCTCTGTACCTCAGCAGGTCTCCATGTGCTTGACTGACTCACTTGTGCCCGTCCCTCCCTAAGGCTCAGGGAGACCTGCTCCCCCCTTCCCCTGTGCATTTCCTGCCCTCCCTGCTCCTGCTTCCCCAGGTTCCCCCACAGCTGCCTCTTCTGATGGGGGAAGGATTTTGAGAATGAGGGGAGTGATAATGGTGGCCTTTCCACATGATCTCTCACTTGATTCTTTTTCACGAGAACATGGACAAGTCTCTGGCGTGGAGTCTCCCTGACTGAAGCTGTTTGCCGCTGACTGCGCCCTGCTCTCCTCTCCATGTCAGGCCCCCTGATGGGGCAGGCAGCTAGCATACTGTCCGCTCTCTTAGCTCAGGGAGGGAAGCCCCTCCCAGCTCAGCCCCTCACTCCCGGCCTTTCTAAGGCCTCAGTTCTCTCATCTGTAAGATGGGGGCCCTGGAAGGGAGCATGGAGGCCATGGAGGCCAAGCCCTCATTTTACCAATGAGGAAACTGAGGCAGTTTGCCCAGGGCCACAAGTGAGTAGGCGTCTAAGGCAGGATTAGTCCCTGGCATTCCCACCTCCAGACTGGCTAAGGAGTCTAGACTTTGCCTTGGGGGCAGTGGGGGGGGAAGGAGAGGCCATTGAAGGTGTCTGAGCGTGGGGTAGTAACAGAATGACAGCCGTGACAGAGGGAACTTTATCTGGCAGGGAGGTGCAGGAAACAAGAAATGAGGAGGCCAGAAGGCCAGGAAGGAACCCATCTGAGTAACTGAGGGTGAGCGCTAGCATCCCGGCCGCTCCCCCAGAGAATGAGAGGGGGTCAGAGCGACTCAGGTTGGGGCCTAGGAGGTGCTGGTGCCCATGACAGAAGCAGAGAGGTGAGGCTGGGAGGAGAGGTCAGCCCCAGGCTCGCCTGGAAGTGATGATCAGCAGGGCCTGCAACGAGGCCAGAGCCAGGGCAGGCTGCCCCGTGGGGAGCTGACCACACCTCTTCACGAGTGAGGCCACTGGAGCAGAGCGACCTCGGGGGCATGACTGTGGACAGAGGAGAGCAGAAAGAGAGAAAACGTACTGGACCTTCAGGGGCACAGTCGGCAAGGGGCTGGGAGGGGGGAGAGGCCCAGGGAGAGAAGACAGCAAAGGGGGAGAACGGGGATGGCCTGAGCATCACAGGAATTGGGGGGTGGGCCGGCAGATCCGATCCTGAGAGGCAGGAGGGAGGGCTGACCTCTGAGAAAGCCCAGGCCTGAGGCAGGGGGGCAGGAGCTAAGGAGCCAATAGGATCAGAATCGGGAGTTGTTTGGCACACAGTTGGTGCTGTATAAATGTCAGTGAAGATGGGAGTGCAAGGTAAGAGGCTAAGGAAGAGAGCGCAGAGCCGCAGACTCTGGGGAGGGTCTGTGCTCAGCATCAGGGACACAGGCTGAGCTTGTGGACAGAGCGGGGGAGGCCAGAAAGGGGATCACTGAAGAGGCAGTGGCCTAAGGAGGAGAAAGCTGGGACCATCAAGAAGTCAGTCAGCGTGCATTTATAGATCACTGCCTGTATACCAGGCACTGTGCTGAGGAAGCCTTGAGAGCAAAGAAAGGCCCAAGCTGTGTGCCAGCATCAATCCAACAGACGAGTTGGGAGCCATGCATGACCACGGTCACGTTGGCCCCACAGGGCGGCTGCCTTGATCGGAGCATGGCCCTCCATCTGTCTCTGTCTGGCTCCCACGGCTGTTCTTAATAAGTCCTTGCTGACTGTATCACTCATTGGATAATTCATCGTGTTCTAGGCTGTGACACAGAACTCTGTATTGTTACTTAAGGATTTTTTTTTTTGAAGTTTGACCTTCCTGGGGTTTATCCCTTCTCTACGCAGATGAATTGTGGCTCCCCAAGGGCCGGGTGTTGGGGGTTTCTCCATCAATATTTGCTAAATCAACTCAGACAGGAAGTCAGGTCATTCAGCCTTGGGGGGGGTGGTAAAACACATCCCCCTCTCATTTAATGTTTCCAGGCTAAATATTTGATCATCAGTATGTGGATAATTGTCTTAAGACCCCACCCCACAAAACGGGAGCCATCGCCAAGGGCTATCACTTCTGCTGGGGTTCTAGAGACCTCAGTAACTGAAAAGGCCCCAGATACTGAGATCAGCTTGGGGGCAGGGCACCACTAGGCCACTGAGGCTTCGATTCCAAGGCAGGCCTCCTCAGCATGAGTTCGTGGGGTGGCAACCTGGAACCACTCACAAGCTGCCGGCTGGGTATCCACTAAGCAGCTTGTGTCTCACCTAAAGGTGGTGTTCCTTTTCCAAGTCAGGTTGCTCCAGTCCTGCTTAGGGCCGGTGTCTAGCCTTCATTCCTGCAGCCCCCCATGCCCATCTCCTTGGGCCCTGGGAAAGTGCCCAGGCAGGAGGCATGCCCTGCTCACTCACCTTTGCACCCTGTGTGCCATAGCCTGGGGGGCCGGGGGGCCCAGGCAAACCTTTCTGACCAAGGGAGCCCTATTAGAGAGAAAGGGTAAGAGGTCAAGAAACACGCTGCCCTCTAAGCCCCCCTCCCCAACACTGTCCTGAGCTCTGATCAGGACAAGCCAAGGAACCACTGGGAACAAGGCAAGACCCTGCCCTCAGCCTCCCTTTGCAGCGCTTCTCACCCCCACTGTCTGTGCTGGGCATCCAGGGTCCTCACATTCTCCCCTTCCCCTACAAGGGCTTGCTCCCAGGAAAGGGTTATTCACACTAAAATGTAATGGACTGATAAGGCCTAACTGGGCAGGAGGGGAGGGATTTCCTTTTTAATGGGAGACTCACCCTCCCTCCATATCCACCCCCTCAACACTCCCACACTGGAAGAGCCTCCAGCCCACACTATAGAATGATCTGTTAAGAAGGCTGTGGATGTTTAATCTGGAAAAAGGAAGGCTGAGACAGAGGCCCTGGTGGCTGGCTTCAAGTACTTGAAGACCTGCCATGGGGAGGCATGGGGAGGAGCAGGGAGGCCAGGCCTGGGACCTATGAACAGGCGGGGAGGCAGGCGTGGCCTGGATATCTGAGAAAATGCAACGGTCACAGCATCTCTGAGGGGGAAGGGACCTTCAAGGCCTCCTCAGGCCTTTGAGGGCACCAAGGGCTGAACATCTGGCCTCTCCTGGGATGGGGAGCTCACCCCCTCCAGAGCCAGCTCTCTGTGCATCAAGCTCCCTTTGAATGGATTTTCTCACCAGAGTGTGTGTTCTTGAGGCTACTTAGCTATTCACACACACACACACACAAATGGACTTATACACACTTATGCACACACTGAGACCTGTACTACTTCTTATGGAATAAGAACCCCAGCTATTTGGCTTTGGGGGGTGGTTGGGGAAAGAGAGGCCTCTGTGGTTGCCTGGTAACTGAAGGCCCCCAGCACTGCTGTGCCAGGCTCAGTGACTGTTCTGTGACAAGACAGAGAAAGCCTGATCCTGTTCAGCCTTGCTGGGTGGATAAAAAACGAAGGAAAGGGAAGAAAAGAGAGCTCCCCTCCCCTGCATCTCTATTCCCCCCCTCCCCTGCTTTCCTATCCTCTCTTGTGTCTGCCTCTGTCTCTCTCTCTCTCTCTCTCTGTCTTTGTCTCTATCTCTGCTTCTCTCTTCCCCCTCTCTGTCTCTGCGTCTATTTCTGCCTCTGTCTCTCTCTCTCTCTGTCTTTGCCTCTGTGTTTGTCCTTCTCTGTCTCTTTCTCTGTCTCTCGGTCTCTGCCCTTGCCCTCCTCTGTCTGTCTATACCCTCCCCCTTATCCCTGGTTGGGGTGGTGGCAGGGCCTGTGATACTGACCATCTCTGGGGCCAGTGTGACAGGCTAACTGCACTGGCCTTTCTCAGGAGCCGACTGGGCTTAGCACCTTTGGCCACTCCCCAGTGGAAGCCAATGCAAAAGGCCCCTTCCTCCTCCTCCTTCCTCCAGGGGCCCTCAGCAGTTGCCTTAGAAACCAAATCCAGCCAATGAAGGCATCATTTTGACCGCATCTTTGCCACTACAACCAATTTGCTTAAAGGGGCCTGGACTCACTGGAGCTTCAGTGTCATTTCACTAAAGCTCCGGGGGGAGGGGCCAGTCGAGGGAGAATCTCCAAGTCCACTTTCTCTAAGAATTAACAGATAAAGCTCCTAACAGGAGGAAAGCACCTGGGGAAAGTCCAAACTACTCTTCCCTCAGCACCCAGATTGCCCAAATGCTGACCTTTGGTCCCTGGCTTCCTATGCCCCGAGGTCCAGAGGGTCCAGGAGGGCCTCTCCCACCAGGTTCTCCCTGAAAAGACACCAAGTACAGAGAGACATTTGCATATCTCTTGACAAAGCCAAGTTCATAACACAGTACTTACTTCAGGCCAAAAGACATCTTTAAGCCCTCGGGCTAAGGTTCTGTCCCGCTTTGAGGTGCTGGTTACTCAAGCTCTGATGGCTGTTTGCCCATTAAACATTTCTGTCTCCATGCCCAGTCCAACCAGCCCAACCCCTTCCCACTCAGCATCCACCCTCAATACGGCTGCAGAGCATCCTTGTCACTTTTAAATCACACAAACAACGCAGAGCCTGAGCTGGACCAAATCAAATAGGTCTGTTATTGTTGTTACAGGTTCATGCTACATTTAGGGAAAGGGAATATTTTTTAGATCCCTTCTTGTGCGCTTTCTGCATCCCCTTCCTCAGCCTCCTGGATGCAGTCCTTCCTGCGTGCACAAGGACTCCCCTGCAGCACCAGGTGGACAGCTGCCCTGGGGACAGGGGCGGGCAGAGAAGAAGAGGCAATGCAGAAAACCATTGGTTACTGGACACTGGGCTCTTTGTAGGAAGGATGGGTAAGCCAGGCTGCTCCCTCACACACCAACTCCTCCAATCCTATCCTGAAATGAGGACTGGGCTGGAGGGTCAGATGGACTTTCCCCTGGGCTCCTACCTTCTCTAATTGCCTCCCCCTTTGACCAGCCCCATCCTGTTTGACAGACTCCTGGGCCTATTCAGAAAGCACCTGGGCTTAACAAGGCTGTGGAGCTCCACATTAGGAAACATGGTTCAGGGCAACCATGAAGTCACTGGTACTCAGATCTTGCCCCCAGAACACCAGACAGGTGAGGCTAGACATCGGCTGACCAGGATCCACAGACTGAGAGCTAGGAGGGCACTTCACATATGAGGAGCCTGAAACCCAGAAGGGTGCATGGAGTTGTCCAAGATGACCCAGACAGTGAACAGTGAGATTGGAAACCATGGCTGCGGACTGCAAAGCCAGGACTCTGTCTACCGTCCCATGCTAGCCAAGCCTCGGCAACGTGCATCGATCAGACTCCCGCTATGTGTCAGGCGCTGCGCTAAGTGCAAGGGCTCACAGGAAGGCAGAGGACAGGCACTACTCTCAGGAAGCTTAGAGTCTAGTGGGCGAGGTCACAAACAAGCTGCTGATGGGACAGACCAGAGATCATCGCAGAGGGAAAGCGCCAGAATTTTGATTGGGGCAGCGGGTGTCACAGTGAAGAGGGTGCCAGCCCTGGATTCAGGAAGACCTGAGTTCAAACCTGGCCTCAGACACTCACTGGCTTTGTGACCCTGGGCAAGTCACTACCTTGTGTTCACCTCAGTTTCCTCATCTGTAAAATGGAGATAGTAATAGCCCCTCCTTCCCTGGGTTGTTGTGAGGATCCAAACAGATAATTGTAAAGTACGGGGTAGGCACTATAGAAATGTTAGTTGTTATTATTATTAATTCTCATCTTGATTTAGTCTTCCTATTTCTTGTGGTCTGATGTAGCACTTCTGTCCGGAGCCTCTGCCAAGCTATTAATTCTCCTCCCAAGTCTGCCCTCCCAATCTCTCGTTTCTTTTTCTAGTTCTTTCCCATACTGTTCTCATTTCGTTTGTAACATTATTTTGACTCTTAAAAATTGGCTACATCATTTCTTCTAGGAATTTAAATTGATCTTGCTGGTTAGCTATGTTTTCCTTTGAGGCTTTGCTGGTCAGTATTTTAGAGGTTTTCTCTTCTTTGGGGTTTGTGCCTTGGGCATCCCTGACACCATAGTAACATTTTTATTTACCAGATTGGGACTTTGTACTAGGGTCAGGCTCTGCACACTCCTGGTGGGACTGTCACAGCCCTGGCTTATCTTTCAGAAATCATTTCCTGGGTTCTTCGGGGATCTGAGGGCTGGTGTGGTCAAGGTAGCTGCAGACTTTCAGCACACCCTTAGTGGTCTGGCCACGGGCAGTCTGATCACTGCCCTCCTGGACTTTTCAGGCCCTGGGTCCTCATCTGGGTTGAGGCAACAACTGTGCAGAGCTGCCTCTGGGTTCTGCAGCAGCCAGTCACTGGCCCAGCTCTGTCTGGGAGCCAGGAGGATCTACAGGTCTAGAGTGTCAGAGGTGCCTGCTCACCCCTGCTCTACATCCAGGAACTGAGTCGAGGGGCCCGTTAAGGAGTCAGAGAACTAGCACCTCCACTGCTGGCCTGCCCTGGTTCTGAGCCGAGCCTGAATCCTGGAGACATGCCCTGGAGCCAGCACATCAGCATCGCAGCCCTGTCTGGTGGCTGGATGCTGAATCCTGGATCTCCTCTTGGGGTCTTGAGCCTGTCCGTGAAAACCTTGCCCCATCCTGTCCAGCCCCAACTGCAGCTGCCCCCAAAACACCCACACCTCAGACATCCCCTGACTTTGGAGGCACATCTGTCGGCCGCCAGCCACCAATGCCCAAAAGGGCCCATCAGCTTCCAGGAAGGAGAAGAAGTGCTAGATTGAATAGGGGAAACAAAGATTGGCTTCTTGCGAGGAGGTGCTGGGAACGTCACGGAACAAGATCAAGGCGTAGCAGAGGCAGAGTCCACATGCCACACTGGCCCTGGACCATCCAGGCGACCAAGACCAAGAAGGGGAGCCCCTGTGGGTGACTGGGGAGCATGGACAAGCGCACAAGGACCCATGGCAGAGTACTCTGAGGCCACAAGTGCCACATTCGTGGACATGTGGAAGCCCTGTGAATGTTATCCCACTCCTGCCAGCCATGAAGCAAGAGACTGTCAGAGTCCCTCACGTGGCTGCGCCACTTCCTCTCTTACCTTTGCTCCAGGGTCTCCTATTCCCCGTAAGCCCATGGGTCCAGGGGGGCCTGGGAGTCCTCGAGGACCCTAATGTGAAACAAGAACAAAAAGAGTGATGCGCCCTCCTAACCTGAGCTTCATGAAGCCACAGGCAGGTTCTCCTGCTGGTGGCTCAGTTGACAACATTCTGTGTCACCAGGTTCCTGTGTGTGCAGTCACAGCAGGGGGATCCACCCCACACCCCCTTTCCTATGGAGTCCTGCACTGTGCTTGGATCATGGACGTGGAGGCAGGACTGGACTGTCCTCAGAGCGGGCTGGAGGGATGCATGGAGCCCACCTGGAGAACCCAAAGGAAGGGCCAGGGGTCCCCAGAAGCCTGAGGAATTCCAAGGTGTGTGTGTGGGGGGTCTGCTGCAGCCCCTCAGTCAATCAGATTCCAAATACAAGAAATGGCGATTGCCAATCCAGGGAACACAAGGTTTGTCCTGGTGGTTCTGGGCAGACCAGAAGAAGGGCATCAGCAACACTTGTTGATTCATTGATATGCCCTCCACGGATTGGCAAAAGCTGGCCAGAGTGGGTTTCCATTGAGAGCTACTAGGCTATATGTTATCTTTTGATGCTATAATTTCAACTTAAATGAGGTTAATAGGTTGACAATATTTTCCCTTTTTTCTTAGAAAAATATTCTCTATCATCTCCATTTTTTAAAAAGTTGGACGCAAGCAATAAAGGGTAACCCCCAGCATGTGGGGTAGATTTAATTTGGAGGATTTACAGAGAGACATGGTTAAGAATCTCATGGCATGAGTGGTAGGGGGCTAGGGCAGAGGCAGAGCTCCCCCCATGAGGGCTAGGGCAGAGGCAGAGCCTCTCCTAGGGGCTCAAGGAGCCATGCAAAGATCTAGATCCCTTTGGGCCCAGACCACTCGGAAAGGTGCATCCTCTAGTCAAGCACCCTGCTCCCGTGGTTCTTCCATATGCCGGCTTTGCTAAATACAGCACCCTGCAGACATCAAGCCAGCAAGAATCCACTTGGCTTCCCACTGATCCTTCAGCCAGAGGCTCCCTCACCTCTCCTAATGGGAGGGAAGACACGTGCACACTTACGGTCACTCCAGGATAGCCATCACCCTTGGGGCCTGGAGCCCCCTCAGGGCCTTGAGGACCTTGGGCACCCTGGGGAGAACCCAACAGCAAACATCCAATGAGTGATGCCATAATCAACATTACTTAGCCAATCCCAAGCTCCAGATATTCTTGCCAGATGCTACCCCAAGAATGCTCCCAGGGCTCAGTCAGCAGACCTCCTGGGGATGCCCCAGGCCACAACTGTGCTCCTTTGGAGTCAGTGGGGCAGGACCCAAAATGGACGTGAGCCAGGACCAAAACATCACCCAGAGCGTGAGTGAGAGCAAAGGGAGCTGCTGCCAGGACTCCAGCTTCTATTGTCCAAGCCCAGCTGTGCTCTGGAATGCAGGGGTGAGAAATTCTGAGCTGCTGAGGTTAGATCCCGGAAATTCCAAACTCTAGAACTTTTAAGCCAGAGGAAAGGATAAAACAACTCAGAGCTTCCGAGTCACAGGTGACCCAGGGGTATGTAAGAGGCCCCTTCCGGAACTGGCCGTGGTCTGTGTAGCCCCATCTGCAGCACAGACCCACCACAGCCAGGCTCAAATGGAGGGGCTGCTACAAAGCTGTGATGCAAGGCGTGATACATGGGGCAGAAAGGTCTCTGGGGAAGGGGGCGCGGGCAGCGCTGTGGCCAGGCTTGCCCAGAGCCTTGGTCTGGGAGACAGAGGGCAGCGGGGCCCAGGTGTCCCTTCCCCCACACTTTACCAGCCAGCCCTTTGAGTTAGACATTGGGAAAGGCAGAAGAGAGGGACCATTGCTGGAACATGTGTCTGTTTTACAAAATGGAGCTGGGGGAAGGGAAGGCAAAAAGAAGCCATCTGACCATTTCACATTCTCCTTATGGGACCCTGGACACACACACATCGCTCTCCTTCTCTCTGCTTCAGTTTCCTCATCCATAAAATGAGACTAATAATAGTACCAACCTCTGAGGGTTGGGCAACTGGGTGGTGCAGAGGACAGAGTACTGGGCTTGGAATCAGGAAGACTCACCTTCCTGAAGTCAAACCTGCCCCCAGACACTTACTAGCTGTGTGACCTTGGACAAGTCACTTCACCCTGTGTGCCTCAGTTTCCTCATCTGTAAAATGAGCTGGAGAAGAAAACGACAAGCCACTCCAGTATCTTTGCTGAGAAACCCCAAATGGGGTGACAACATTTGTCAAGTGTTTTGCAAACCTAAAGTGCTAGAGGAAAGCTAATTATCATGATTAAATTCCACCAAAGGCCCAAGGATTGGGAATTCCACTCTCTATTTCAGCCTTGGGAGTAGCAGCCCTAGCAGCGCTAAGTAAGAGCATTGCTATAGCACTTCACAATTATTGTCCCCTTTTATTCTTACAACCCCTGGAGGTGTGGGTTGTACCGATGAGGCAGAGGTAAAGTGACTTATCCAGGGTCACAGAGCAATCATCTGGGGCAGGATTTGAACTCAGATCTTCCTAACTCCTCTCCCCACTCTTCCCCTCAGTATAGCATGGGTGTGAGGGTGGATTTTCCCTTCCTTCGGCCATCCAGAGAAACGAGCCCTTCTGCCTAGAGCAGTGAGTTGGAGGGGAGAGAAAAGGAGGGAATGGGGCTGAATGGTACCTTAGGGCCTCGGATGGAAACTCCAGGTTCTCCTTTGAAGCCTGGCCTCCCGATCTCTCCTCTGTCTCCCTACACACACAAACATACCTGGTCATTCACTACCTCCGGTCACCAGAGAAGATGGGAGGGCTGCAGCCTCTGAGGCCTCGAGCCTGGACAGGCCTGAGGGGCTGACCACAGCTTAGCAGGGCCTGGAGCAAAGCAAGGGCTATCTACTGATGGACTCAGGAAAGACCGAGTGGGACTGTGGAGTTGCGGTCTGAGCCAGGGACCAGGAGGCCTGGGCTCCAGGCCCAGACTTAATGGGCGATGTGACCAAAGAAGCCCAAGCCCTTTCTGGCCTGCAGCTCACTGACAGATGGGGCTGCAGATGCTTCTGCTCCCGCCCTCCCAGGCCTGATGGGCTGGAGGATGGGGCCCCTTCCTCCCACATCTGTCCTTTGTGGGCTCATAAAGAGTCAGCTCCATGGAGCTTACAGCATCACCCCTGCCCCAGGCGGTAGGGAGAAAATCTCCCATTTTCACGGTCTAAGAAATGGCCATAGTGAGCACCACAGAATCCCCAGGCCGTCATCCCACTGGTGAAGACCTCAAGATCTAGAGAGAGAGGCCAGAATTCAGGTGCGCTCACGATTGTCTCTGGCCAGCTGCAGCCCGTGGCTGGGGCAGCCCTTGCCCAGCCCCTTCCTCCCAAAGGGCTCAGCCTGCCCTTCACCTCAAACAACCAGGAGAACATCTGTACCTTTGGCCCAGGAGGCCCTTGAATCGATGCCCCAGGCATGCCAAAGGGCCCCAGGATGCCAGGCTCGCCCTGCGGGTGAAAACCAAAAGATCCCCCTTAACAAAGGTCATGTCGACAGCTCTGCACTGCTGTGAAGACCTGGTCAGACCTAGAAAGGACCTTGCAGGCCATGAAGGCCAGCCTTCCTGATTGGGAAAAAGGAGGACATAAGACTGGGTCTGTGTCACCTCAGGCTTAAGGGGCCGACCGCTGCCAGGGACACCTGAAGAGGTCGGCCAAGGAAACTGCAGGAAGAGAATTGTAGCTCAGTCAGGTGTGGCCCTCCTTTGACAGTGAGCCAGGTGACCTTGGGCAAGTCATTTCAATGTTCTGAGCCTCAGTTTACTCTACTGTATAATAGGGTTCAGCTAAATTAGGACTAAGGTGCTCTGCCATTCAGCAGCACCTAGACTGGAAAAGGTGGGTCCCAGAATCACATACTGCCTGTGTATGTGCTTGGGGGAGGGGGCATCATCCCATTCTGCCTCCAACTGGGGCAGCTTCTCTCCACCATAAGGTCTAACCTTGGCTGGAAGGCCAGGGACAGATCCCAAACTTGCCCAGCCCAAGGGACCGCTCCCAACAGACCCAAAGATTCTACTGCAGGGAGCAGAGCCAGCCTTGATAAAGCTCTGGCCCAGTGCGGGCACCTGTGCTTTGGCTTCTGCTGCCTCCCCCCCTTCCTGCTGCCGGACAGTGTTTTCAGAGAACAGGAGCTCAGTCTCATTGCCCAAGGAGTCATTCCCTGGAGGCCCCCAACTGGTCCAAGCCCGTCCCTCTATGGTCTGAGCCAACGTGCCTTGACCACTAATAGCTCCATCTCTCTGACCCATCTGGGCCTCCAGTCTGGCCTGAAACTAGCTCTGCCCTGAGCACCAGCCCCATCTGCCCACCCTGAACCGCATCCCAGCAGCGGGAGGGAGGCAGGTGCCCGACATCTGGGAGTGACCCCTGAACCGCAGCCCGGCAGTGGGAGGGAGGTAGGTGCCCGACGTCTGGGAGCACCCAAGCCATTTTACAGGTGCGAGTGTGGCAAAGGTAACGGATGACCTGGTCACTGCACCATGAGGCAAAGGGCAGATCCTTTGGCAGATGAGATAATTCACTGGTAGTGAGGTCAGAGACATCCAGGCTGACTCTGTGGAGGAAGGGACACTTTGGAAACTTCCGTTTCTCAACAGTAGTTTGGGCCCAGCCGTGGCAGTAGCTGAGCCTCTGGTAATTCTCTATCCTGGCACACCATCAGCAAACTCGCCCAGTCCAGGGACAGGACAGCTGTGTAGGGTGTTGGGGGCTCTGCCCCAGGGCACTGACATGGTGGAGGCAGGCCGCCCCAGGGGCAAGGGCAACCTGTACCCACTAATCTCTGGGGCTGCCCCCAGGTCAGTGGAATCTCTCCACAGCATCTGTCCCTAGCTCTGGCTCTGGAACAGGTCATCAGAGAGACTGGCCACTCATGCCTCTGCACTGGCTTGGGTGAGTCTGCCTTTAGAATTCAGGCCCTTCTTGGGGCTCATGTGTGCAGGAGAGAGGCAGGCGGGCATTGGCTGGAGGCCCAGGGATCCCTGCTCCACCTTAGACAGGAACACTAGGCCTCAGCTAGTTTTTTTACCCTGATTTTCGTCAGCGTTTGAGGTCTGGCCTCCATGCCTATTACAAATCTGGAGAGATTGCGCACTAGACCCTCTAGCTGCTCCAGGCACAGCCTCCCATTCCCTCTCCCTCCTCTCAGTTTGTCACAGACCATCCCTCGTGCCTGAGATGCTCCCCCTCCCCCACCCCTGCCCTGTGACCTCTGCCTCCTGAAATCTCCACCCCCCTCCCAGTCTCAGCTCAGGGTCTGCTGCGGCCAGAGCCCTCCCCTGATCCCCCAGCCCAGACAATAGTTTGCATTTACTTGTCTGTCTTCCCCAGTGAAATGAAAGCTCCCTGAGGACAGGACAGCTTACTTCTCTGTGGTCTTTGTACCCTTCAGTGCCCAGAGAAGAGCCTGTAAGCATCTCACAAGGGGACCAGTGACCAACTGGAAACAGAGTCTCCTCCTGTGTCCTGCCCAAGCAGACACCGGCCAGCTCCCGGCCCTGGCCCTTGGGCTGCTATGTGACTGGGGCAAGCTGCTCGTCCTCCCAGTCTCAGTTTCTTCTTCTGCAATGCCTGCACCATCTCCCTCACAGGAGGGGACATATCCTAACCCTAACCCTTGTCAGCCCCAAAAGGAGCCTGAGACCCACCCAAAGTGTCAGCCACATACCTTGGGACCCTGAGGACCTGCCATGCCCTTCTGCCCTGCGTTACCCTTGCTCCCCTTCTTCCCTTCATCACCCTGAAAATGCAAGGATGACAAATGTAAATGCCAGCGACCAACGACACCCGTGGAGAAGCAGCCGGTTTTCATCTTCGGGCCTCTGCTCCAAGTCTCTCCCTCCACTTAGCTGTCGAAGTGACCTCCCTAAAAGGGCAGGTCTGAGCATGTGACTGGGGCAGGAAGGTGGCGCAGTGCACAGAGAGCCGGGCCTGGAGTCAAGAAGACCTGAGTTCAAATGTGACCCCAGACACTTACCAGCCGTGTGACCCTAGACAAGTCACTTCACCCTGTTTGCCTCAGGTTCCTTGTCTGGAAAATGAGCTGGAGGAGGAAATAGCAAACCTCTCCAGTATCTCTGCCAAGAAGACCCGCAATGGGTAATGAAGAGCCGGACATGACAGAGATGACTGCATGACGGTCACATGACCTCCCTAATCAATCAGTTCTAGGGAGTCCTTTTCACCTCCAGGATAACATAAACAATCCTCCGGCTTTCAGAGCCTTTCACTACCTCCCTGCCTGCTCCTCTCCAGTCTCCTTACCCCTACAAGAGGTAGATAGAAAGAGTAGAGAGAGGTAGAGAGAGATAGAGAGATAGGTAGAGAGAGAGAGATGGTAGAGATGGATGGGTGGATGGGTGGATAGATGGATTGGTGGATGGGTGGATGGATGGATGGGTGGATGGGTAGATGGATGGATGGGTGGGTAGATAGGTGGATGGATAGATGGATGGATGGATGGGTAGATGGATGGATGGGTGTGTGGATGGATGGATGGATGGATGAGTAGATGGATGGATAGGTGGAAGGATGGATAGACGGATGGATGGATAGGTGGGTATATGGATGGATAGGTGGATGGGTGGATGGATGGATGGGTGGGTATATGGATGGATGGATGGATGAGTGGATGGATGGATGGATGGATGGATGGATGGATGGGTGGATGGATGGATGGGTGGGTATATGGATGGATGGATGGATGAGTGGATGGATGGATGGATGGATGGATGGATGGATGGATGGGTGGATGGATGGATGGATAGGTAGATGGATGGATGGATGGATGGATGGATGGATGGATGGATGGATAGATAGGTAGATGGATGGATGGATGGATGGATAGGTGGATGGGTGGATGGATGGATGGGTGGGTGGATGGGTGGATGGATGATATACAGATAACTGATAAGCATAGATACATAGATTGATAGATGGTACAGACACAACCAAAATCTGCAGAGATCTTCTGTCTTGGCTTATTGGAGATACTTAGATATCTCAGACAGCAGCTGCTGATGGGCAATGAATGGGGCCCAGACCTCAGGAGAGGGGGCCAGATTGCTCTGGGGACTCAAGCAGTACTTTTGACAATCGCACTGTTCCCTGAGCCCCAGGCCCATCTTCTTTACACCACTACTCTCTAGAGATGCTCCATGCTGGGCAGACCCCGAAAGACTGAGGAACAGGTGAGACCAGGGCCAGCTGAAGGGTGATGGCCAGTGGGCATGGGAAGGTGTGCCCTGTTATCAATGGAGACTCACGTATGAAGTGGGGTAAAAGCTGTAATCGGGCAAGATATCAGCAGGACAAGAGGTCACCCAGAGATGTCATGAGGCTGAGGCCATCCTGGCAGACCTCTAGCACATTGGGAGGATTACTGAGAGGACATGGAGAAAGGCTAGGAAAGGCAAGCCCAGGGGGAGGGGGGGCAGTGGGGGCAATCTGCACCAGGGAAGGGACACAGAAGAAGATCCTATCAGTCTCCCAATTCCAGGGGTGATGGTGGCTCTTTCTGACTCTTCCCCCCTCATCACTCCCTATAGCCAACAAGAGGTCCACTCAGATGAACCCTGGACAGTGCATATTCCTGAAGCAGCCAGAAGCCAGCCTGTGGATACCTTTGGGCCAGGCTGTCCTTTGCCAGGGGCTCCTTCTGGGCCTCTCACCCCCGGAAGTCCAGTTTCCCCCTAGAGGTAAAGACATTGGTGTTAGTGGCTGACTCTGCTGACTAGGGGCCCCAACACCAGCCCCAACTGATCGGTGGCCTGGGCCAAGCCTTCACTCCAGGACTGAGCAGAATCTGGGAAAGCTCACAGATGTGGCCAGAGTGAAGTAACCAATGGCCAAGGACCAGGCAGGGTGAGAAGATGCCAAACAGCAGAGGAAGTCGAACTGTGACCAAAACAATGAGGACATTGGGAAATAGTCTAAGAAAGCCTAGGCTTCCCCAGTGATGGGCTCTATGTCAGTCAGTCCTTCCTTCTGCCTCTTCCCCCTCCTCTTTCCCCCACTACATTTCTCTTCTTTTCTTCCTTCCTTTCTTTTTCCTCTTCCCCCTCCTCCTTCCCCCACTACATTTCTCTTCTTTTCTTCCTTCCTTTCTTTTTTCCTTTTCCCCCTCCTCCTTCCCCCATTACATTTCTCTTCTCTTCTCTTCTCTTCTCTTCCCTTCCCTTCCCTTCCCTTCCCTTCCCTTCCCTTCCCTTCCCTTCTCTTCTCTTCTCTTCCCTTCCCTTCCCTTCCCTTCCCTTCCCTTCCCTTCCCTTCTTGGAGTCAGAGGACCTCAGTTTGGTCCCAGCTTCACCACTTACAAACATGTCACCTTGGCCAAAACATTTAGCCTCTTTGGGATTCAGCCTCCACATCTGCCAGGCTGGGCTAAATGCCAGTGAGGTCCCCACTAACTGCAGACTTCTGATCTCATAGGGTCGTCTCCCTTGCCAATCACACAAAGTGGGGACCCCCCAGAAAGTACAAAAACTCTCAGCCCTCTCTGGTGATGCCTCGTCTCGTGGTCAGGCATCTGCATCTGCGTTAGAGGCTCTCAGGTCCCTGGGTCCATCTTGGGCCTGATGCCACGGTGCTCACTCTTTGGGGCTCCACTCCCCTGTCCCTCACCAAGACCCTGCTGGCTCTCAGCTGGGCTCAGCTCATGGGGCCACAGTGGTCCCAGGCCCAGAACAGGCCCTGTGGGCCAAGCTGTTTGCCTTCAGCTGACTGAGAACCACTGCTGGGGTCTGGAGCAGGGTCCGGGGCTCCAGAGCTGCTTCCCAGAAACTAAGGAAAAGAGAGTCACCTTCTTGCCCTCGGCTCCATCTTCTCCTGGGGATCCTGGCTGGCCCGGGAGCCCCACGGACCCTGGCTCCCCCTGGTGGGCAAGGAAAGAGTTGCACCGTTAGGTCCAGACAGCCAGAGAGGAGACTCACTCAGCCTGGGAGCCAGGGCACTCAGCCCCTGGGCCTTGCTCCTCCCTCAAAACCAGCCCCCCAAAGTCTTCAGTCGAACACTGGCTGCCCACTTGGAACGTGCGAGAAGGGATCTTTTAGAAGGTGGGTGAGAAGACCCCCAGGGTCCCTGCCCATTCCTTGGTTCTAGGATTTTGTGAGCTTTGATCATCCTCATCTGTAAAATGGGTAGGAGGACCTACAACTTCACCAATGTGAAAATATGTTTCATGGGTATGTAAATGTAAAGCCTATATCAGATTATGCGCTGTCTTGGGGGGGGAGGAAGGGGGAGAAAAAGTTTCAACTCAAAAGCATATGGAAATGATGTTGATAAATCAAAATAAATGAATAAATTTTTTAAAAAAGAATTAAACATCAGTTTTTAACTTAATCTAAGTGAAAGCATACTTTACCACTACAATGCTAAGGCAGAATGCCGTGTCATACTCTTTTAATGACATTTCAAAAATTGCTTAATTGTACGTACACTGTTGTGTTGCATGGCATATTGTGTGTGTGTTTGTGATTAGATCATCAACAGTCGTTCACAATTTTTGAGTTATTTAGCTGCTGCTACTGCTGTTGCTACTTAGAAATAGGAAGCTCTTAATCCTAGTTCAAAGAATACTATATTGTGTATAATTTGACTAAAAACTTAATGTTTATTTTTTTTATCTATTTCTTACCAGCAAATTCCCAGTTCTATATCTCTACCAGTGAAGTCATAAAGTATATATATTTGTTTTCAATAAATCTGATGACATGTATACTAAGAAAAAAAAATGGGTAGGAGGGTGGAATGGATGCGTGGGGCGATGACTATGGCCCTTCTGGTTCTAAATGTCTATGCTGCTGCATCTTCCTCATTAATAGGCAATGGAATGAAGTGGCTGGGTGGGGCCATGGGCAGTGTGCTGGGGGTGGAATCAAGAAGACCTGCCTTTAAATCCTGCCCTAGACACTTAGCTCCGTGAACCAGGGCATCAAGAGCCTGGGAAAGTCCCTTAACCCTTCTCAGGCTCAGTTCCCTCATCTGCAAAATGGGGAGAAGCATCTCCTTCCTAGGACTGCTGGGAGGATCAGAGGAGCTTCCAGGGAAAGTGCTTTCCAAATCTGAAAGCGCTATAGAAATGCATGATGTGAGGCCTGGACTCAAGCCCCCAGTCCTGAGGCATGAAGGTCGCTCCTCTTTGGTGGAGTTCAGTGCCCTGCACTGGGGGAGGGGAGCTGTCTCCAGACCCTTCAGGCCCTGGGGTTGCACCAAGAGCGGATAGTTTAGTGGGTCCAAGTTCTGGCTTTGACATTCCTTAGCTGTGGCACTGTGGGCTCATGGCTCACCTTCTCTGAGCTGCTTTTTCATCTACAAGATGGGCCCGAGAATCTGTACCCACCCCCCTCACAGGGGTGTTCTTAATCAGAGGCCTCTCAGAGGGCCCATGATTCTCCTCTTCCCTTTGGCCTTGGCTTAGCACCATCCCTTCTACAAAGTTGAACCCAAACCAGGCATCTTGCCATGAGATCAGCCCTATGTACCTGGCCCCTCTCTGCCCATCAGGTGCTGCCCCCTACCTGCCATTAAAAGGGGGTAGGGCAGTTTAATGGAGAGAGGATGCAAAATGGGGGTGCTGGATTAGATGGTCTCTAAGTGCTTTCCACCTCTAAATTCTTTGAAAATGGTTATTTTCTCCTGCTGCACTTTGGCCTGAAACTACATAAGTTGTATAATGCCTAAGTACAAGTAAGCCAGTCAGTACCAGCCTTTTGGTGACAAATAAGGCCATCTCCAGGGCCCCTGTGCCTAGAATGCCCTTGGACACATTCCAGATCTCAGGACAGAACCTGGCAGTAAGGCCATCAGGGTTCAGTGGGGACCTCTGACACTGAAGCTCTGGGATAGACCCTTAGATGTTCAAATGCTGCAGGAGATACTCTAATACAAGTCCTGGGATAGCCCCTCTGACACAGAAGCACTAGGACAGACCCTTCAAACTTGAATATGAGGTTCGGTGCTCTGAAACTGATCCCAAAGTCCTGGGACAGCCCCTCGGATACTGAAGTTCAAGGACAGGGCCTTGGATACTGAAACCCTGGGGAAAAACACAAGGCATAAAGGCAGCTTCTCCCCAGAGATATGACCAAAGCTGAGCTGGGAGGCAGGCCACATCACCATATCAGATCTTATCTGCTTTCAGCACATAGGCAGATAGTAGTGGACTCCACTGGTACCATAAATAAACATGGCCCTAGGAAGGGCCGTGGCACCTGCAGACATGAATAGACCCCACTCCCACCCCACCAAGTACTCCAGTGTCCACTTTGGAAGGAGGGAAGTTGGCTACACACTCACCTTCGGACCTGGGACTCCAATTCCCACTGGTCCCCGAAGCCCAGTGGGGCCAGGCTGGCCCACTTCTCCCTGGAAGGGAAAAAGCAGATATATACTGAGCACTGGGGATGAGAAATCAGGGATCTCTGGGAGCTGCAGGCTGCTCAGCCTCCTCTTTGTGCATCCTCCATAAATCTCTGACAACTTTCCCACCTGTCACACACCCCAGACAACCTTCCTGTCCCTGATCTCCTGAGGAAAAGAAGGGGCCTGAAAGACGGCTCTCACATGTTATAAACAAAAGGACGGTTGTGATTCCCCAGCACATAGAGGAAGAAAAGCCCTTGTGTTTCTTTGCCTGTAATCCTGGCAACAGATAATGGAGGGGGCTCACAGACACATCTCTGCCCGGCTCCTTGTCAATGTTACTGATCTCAGCCTGAGCTGTAAGATGGCTCGGGCAGGAGGATCCCGGAGCAGAAGACAAAGAGGCTTCAAAGATCCCACAAAGGCAAAGATCCCTAAAGAACGTGGATCACAAATGCAGCCTTTGGCTAGGCTCTACAAGAGTTGTGGGCCAGGCCGGGGGAAGCTGCTGGTTTTAAATCATTATTTTCCCCAGTGGAGTGCTCCTGGGCACCAGCAGCGGACCCGGGTTACTAACTTCAACTGAAATCTCCTCTTGTTTAGGACCTTACCTTGGGACCAGGAAAGCCCTGGCCTGGGGGTCCTTGGGGGCCAGATGGGCCACTTGGACCTTGGATTCCCTTTCAAAGAAAAAGAAATGTGTTTAGGTTAAGAAGAAATTAACGGGCCAGGGTCCCCTCCTGTGGGATGAATGCAGGCTCCAGAGTGAACAAATGATCTCACAAACTTGGCTTCCTCCCCCTCCTGAGGGGCCCGGGCCAGTGTAGCACCTGGGAGCAGTAACAGTCTGCTCCACTCTAAACAGGATGTGAGGCCGGCCAGGCCTTTAAGGATGGTGGAGGCTGGGGGCTCCTGTGTCTCTTCTCAGTTGCAAAGATTCTCTGTACAGAATCCAAAAGGGAACAAAAGTACCTGGGGCAGAGAACAATTCAAAGGGCATAAATCTAAGCCTCTGACTGGGGGAAAACTCCGCAGGAAATGTGGACAGTTTGACAAGCGGCTCTCTTTTTGCTGCCTGAGAGGCCCATCAGCTGGTCACCACACAAGTGGATGACAGCCCAGGTGGGAGGCAGTGCCAGTCTGCCCTGGGCAGGAGGAAGGCCAGTGGACTCCCGGGGCTCAGAGATCAGAGGAGGCTCGGCAGTGGCCATCACGCACTCAGACTCAAGGTGCGAGAAGCCAAGATGGGGAGGTCTGTGACACAGAGGCCCCTGAGCATTCCACACTTGGCACCAGATGGGTTTCTGCCTTTGAACTTCAACCGTGAGACTCTGAAGGACAGGCTTTCAGGTCCAGCATCGTGGCCTTGTTTGGGGACCATGTGGGGGCCCAGCTCAAACCGAGGAAGGGGCTCCAAGGCTGGAGATTGCCCCTGGGTGGGTGGCATGGTCAGCGGGGAATCTTAGATGCACACCAGCTCTATACAGTTCAGGTAGGAGCTGCCCAGGTGGGCCAGGCTTATCCCATCCAAGGCCTAGAAGCTCCTTGAGGACTGGCCAGACTGCTTTGGGTTTTCCTGACTTCTAGTAATGACAGTTCATTAGTGACCCAGGAACAAGTCCCCCAAAGGGCGAGAGGGGGGAAGGGAGGCCAACCACTCATGGGGCTTGAGAGCTCATGGTAGAAAAACCAAAGGGGAAGGGGAGAGGCTGGCCAAGCTTCTACTAAATGAAATGAAAACAAAGTCCAGGACTCTGGTCTCCTTTCACATCTCCCACACTGCCTCTTCCCTTCCATCCTTTCGAATAAACCCAGCTAGGACCAAAACAGCCACTTTGATCACACCACCATGCAGACAGACCACATGTCATCAGGTTTTCTGGAAGTCATGGTGGAAGTAGTATTTTCCTTTCTTTCTTTCTTGCTTTCTCTTTCTTCCTTCCTTCCTTCCTTTCTTTCTCTTTCTTTCTTTCTTCCTTCCTTCCTTTCTCTTTATTCTTGTTTCTTTTTCTTTCCTTTTCTCCTTCCTTCTTTCTTTTTCTTTCTCCTTCTTTCTCCTTATTTCCTTCTTTCTACTTCTTTATTTCTCTTTTTTCTCTCTGTCTCAATCTTGCTCTCCATGTTTAAGGGAAATTCCCCACTCTCCAATCAATTTGGACATATCTTTGTCCCCACAGCATATGGACATGAGTGTTGGCACCTCATTTAGACTTCAGACAACTCGGGCTTGGTGCCCAGTGATGGAGCTGCCCCCGAGACCACTGGCTGGCAGGAACATAAGGGGTCCGCCCCTCCCCATGCTCTGTCCACCTGAGCTAGCAGACCGGCTTAGCCCTTCCTAGACTCCTCTTCACTCCCCTTATTCTGGAGCAGCTCAGTGCATGGCAGTGAGGTGGTCAGTGCCTAGAGACAGCTCCTCCCCCAGGAGCTAATTGGTAATAACTGCCTTAGGGTTGAAGCAGCTGGGAGTTACAGGGATTTTCTCACAAGCCAGAGCAGAGATCCTGAGAGCAGATTTGCCCAGCAGGAGAGGCAGCAGCCCTGGGAACGGAGGTTTCCTGCTGTGAATGTACAGGGCCCGGTTCACGATGGGGACTCATGGCCCGCGTTCCTGAATCCCGGACCTATGATTGTATGTTTTAGGCCGAGGGAGGGAGGATATTTTAACATCCAACGCAGCGCTATTCCAGAATCTGGCCGCCAGGAGGGGCCTTCGGTGGAAGGGGATTTCTCCCAACAGATCACACATACCTGAGCACCCTGAGTCCCGAGTCCAGGAGCACCCCTTGGCCCTTGGGGCCCCACAGGTCCCAAATCCCCCTGTGTGGAAAGGAAGATGATCTGTGTGTCAGAATAAGGCAGCCACGGTGGTGCCATTGTATACTTCTAGAAAATACACTCCCCACCCAGAGGGGGAAGTGCTCTGACCTCCCTCCCAGCTCCCAACCGCACGGGTGTGGTGACAGATATGAAGTGACTTATCCAAGGGGACACAGCTAGGAAAGGTCCAAGCCAGCACTGGACCCCACATCTTCTGCCCTGGGGGCATCATGACATGGGAAAGAACGGCGCCTGAGTGTGAAACCCTAGGCCTGAGGTTCAGGGCCCAGCTCTCCTTGCCACCCCTGCCACACAGTAGCATCACCAATACTATTTCTACTTCTCCTTATTGACCTTCTGGGTAATGGGTACAAGATTAGTCTCCCCAAACCCAAACCAAAATAATGCTGCCCCTCCCTCAGGAAGGAAGGGCCGATGGACAAAAAGGCATGTACAAAAACGAGACACCCTACTTCCTTCACCACCGTCCCTCGCTCCCGTTAAACAGAGGACAGTGGACATCATCTGATGACTTGGGGCCAGACTGGAATTGTTAGGGTGTGAGGATTCAGCAGCTCCTTCGGTGCCGTGGAAGAGGATGTTGGTTTGGAGAGGCGTGGGGAATTGAGGAACGATTTGTTTACACCCTAACCAGCTCAGATTGATTTCTTCTTTACTTTTCACCATGATTTCCATAGCTCTTTTGTCCCCTCCTCTGTCCTGAGCTGCAGACAATTTGTCTGACTCCAGGGTGCAGTAGCCCCTGGTCCCAGTCAGCTCTTGAGGGAAGTCAGACACCAAGCCTGTTCAGCCAAGAGCCTGATTTTACCAGTCAGCTGCCTAGGTGAGGGCCCCAGGGCCCAGCTGCCCTTGGTGGGGGGGGGGGCTCCCCAGCTAGAGGCCATGACTCTCGTTCTGGCCTCAAAGCCATGTTCTGGATGGTGCAAATTACTGGGAGTCTGACTTAGTGGCTGGCCTGTGGATTTCCCATAATGCGACACCATCAATTCACTCACTCACTCATTCATTCATTCAGCATAGCTTTCTCTGACGTTCGATCTGAGTAAGCACATACCTTGTCCCCTTTGATTGACAGACCCTGTAGTCCTTGGGGGCCAATAGGCCCATCAGAACCTTTTTCACCCTAGAAACAACACGGCAGTGTATCAGCGAATTCAGGCTAGGGTTTGGAAAACAAGCAAGTGTCCCACCGAGTAAACGACTGACGTGGAGTCAGGCTGATCCCTGAGACGAAGCTGTCCGGCACTTCCCACCCAGCGCTGGTCCATTGGTGCTGCCCAGAGCAACTCCCATTTGTGAAGGCTGACGTGGAAATCCTGTCACTGGGTCCCAGAGGGACCAACCAGCAAGTAAGCAAGGGCTGGACCCAAAGTCCGGGGCTCTTCCCCAGGAATGTGGGCTGGCTCCTGTCATGAGGCCTCGTGTGTGTGTGTGATGTCTAGGTCTGTCTCTATGTGTATATGTCTATGAATGTGTGTACATGTGTCTATGTGAGTATAATGTGACTATTCCACTCCTTTTGCCATTGAGGTCTTGCGTGCCCACAGCCCCATCTGTGACCAGCGTGGGGCTTTGGGGCTTGGAGATACCTGAATACTGTGATACAAATGTCTGCTCGAGGTCAGAGAGTTTGGCATCCCTGGTACTCTGCCTCAGCCACGCCCTCCGGTGTTTGCAGAGGGTCCAGACATGACAACGACCTTCCCAAATTGTGACCCGTAGACCTGAGCCCCTCCAGCTGAGGGGCATCTGATCAAGGCTGGGGTTGGAGAACCCTCCCCGCCTCACCCTGGGCTCAGAGCCTCTCAGGGCAACCTCTGAATGCATTAAATAATGCAGCTGCTGAGTCAGCCCAGCAAAGCTGTCCTCCGAAGTCCTCAAGTCTTCTCCAACCACATCTCCCTCAGCAGAAGTGAGCTCCTGAAGGGCAAGGACTGTTGCGGTAGGAAGGAGAAGCTGTCCCCTGTAAGCGACCCCTTCTCAGCCAGTCTTCTGCCCCCCTTTCCCTCCCTCCAGCCCCTCCTGGGGGTCCCCAGGGCAGTCACTATATAGCAAGGATATGTTCTGTCAGTGGGGGTCCATGGGGCCTTTCCCCAGCCCGTGGCGTCTCAGGGTCCTAGCCAAGGCAGCCTGACTTTTCCCCAAAGCAGACCTCTGTTAGTCAGAGCTGTCCCTACAGCGGAATTGATACCATCTCCTCGTTGGCAGGGAGGAGCCCCTGACAGCCATCACCTTCAGGATGATGGGATGCTCCAGAGGAAACCAGGAAGCCTCCCTGAGCCTGGCCTGCACACAGATATCGCCCAGCTGGGGACAAGTGTCCTGACCACTCAGCTGACGTTCGTGACATGGTCAGGTGCCCACTGTGCGTCTGAAATGTTGCTGGGGACCCTCGTTTTCACTTCTTACTCAAGTCTGCCGAACACTGAGTTTGGACGTTACCTTGGGGCCTGGAAGTCCTTCTCCTGGTACACCTCTCTCTCCTGGGGCTCCTTCAGGACCCCGGGGACCCTGATTACAGAGGGAGGAGAAGAAGAGAGAGAGAAAGGAGAGAGAGAGGGAGGGGAAGAGGGAAACAGAGAGAGATGAGTACACCAGAAGGACTTGTGCTCTTTGGGGTCCCCTGCCTTTGGGGTCTGGCTACAGTCCATCTGTAGAAATAGCAAATGCAGCAATAAAGACAGCCTGTCATTCATCACCTCTGTTGGCCAGACTCCCTGGGGTGCCAGTTTGAGTCCTGCGGGCCTCCATGGAGGCAAGGGCCTCAGGCCTCCAGATGCCCAGGAGGCGTGGCCAAAAGTGCCTTCGAGCAGGGCCGAAATAGCTGGGATTGCTCAGCTTGCTCAATGGAACAACTTTTGCTATCATGTTTCAGAGATGGGAGTCTGGCCACCTAACCTGAGCTGCCCAGTGCAGGTGAACCAGAGGCGGGTGGGAAAAGAAGGGCGTGGGGACCTCCCAGTATGCTGCAAAGCTGAGAGTGTCCCGTCTCCCCCCCACAGCTCCTAGGGACCAGCCCCCTGCCCCAGCCCCACTACAGGCAAGCTGCAGGTGGGGCAACCACAGAAAAGCCAAGCCCATCCGGGCCTTCCTGACACCCCCATCCATCTCTTTGCTTTCTAGGCACCTTGTCTGGGGTACTTTCTTTTCTTCTCAGATAACAGAGAGCCGATAGACTTAGCTGTTCATGCTCTGTCCCAGTGCAGGGTGACCATCCCCTTCCACAAGGCGGAGACCAAGGACCCCAGAGTAACTGAGCCACGTGTCCAAGGACATACAGCACCGGGGGGCAGTGAGGTGAGGGTGTTATGTCAGGGGCGGGCTCTCATCTCAGACACCCCCACCCTGGTCCTGAAGCAGCAGCCCAAGCTCTACTACATGCCGGGAGGAGCCTGGCATCCTTACGGGCAGGGTCCAAAGCTGGCTGCCTCCCAGCCGACGACACAGCAGCTCAGCCCCCTCTGCTCTGGCTCCCACCTCCTCACAGCCCAAGTTCCATTCTGCTCCTGCCTCTGCCCGGAGGTATCCCAAGAGGTCTGAGACTTGTCCTTTTCCTGAGTGATTCTCCTAAGTCAGGGACACAGCTCACGGTACTTACGGCTTGTCCTGGCTCACCAATCCCCACAGGTCCTGGAGCTCCAGGCTGGCCCTCCTGACCTCTTTCTCCCTAACAAGAAAGGGAAAATGCTGAGTCGCTGCTGCCGCTCCAGGCTGTTAAAAGCCCCAAAGCATCTTCAGGGATCGGGAAGAATGCTACCCTGGGGGACGCAGAACAGCCCGGACACACAGGCAAGATGGCCAATGCTCGGCCAGGTGAGCAGAGGGAGGTGAGGTAGAGCCGTCGAGCTGAAACCTTCCAAACCAGGTCCTCCAGAAGAGGGCCAGCCCCAGCCTCTTCTGCTCTGCCCTGGCCCAGCCCCTCCACGCCCTCTGCAGACAGGCCAGGACCCAGTACTTCTGGGTGCCCTCCTTGTCCGATAAAATCATCGAGCTCTGGGTGCGAGGGGCGAGACGGACATGTTGGCATATGGGCGACCAGCTCAGGGGCCGCAGGGATCGCCCCACCGCACCCTTTACTGGGCAGCCAATGGGAAGGCTGGGTGCGCCGCGCGGCAGGTCACCGACACCCACATCACTCCCCCTGGCCTTCTGGAGGTTGGCTGGCGGGTTGTCCTTTGTTCCCGAGGAGGACCAAAATGACGTCCCCCCTTCGGGGTCAGGGCGCAGCACGTCCGACTGTGGCTCAGCAGAATAACGTGAGCTCGGAAGGCTCCACCACAGGTCGGGCACAAACGGTCCCTGTGAACATCTGGGGCAACTACAACCCACACCAATGTGGGAGGTTGAGAAGGGCCTCAGGTCATATCCCATGCTCCCAGAAAGCAGGAGCAGGCCTTTCCCACCCACCCCAGGCCAGCCCAGCATCTTGGAACAGGGCCCGAGGGCGGCAGCCTGGCTGACCAAGGCTCCGAAATGGCGGGAGTCCTTACCTTAAGTCCCTGCTGTCCAATGCCAGGGGGACCGGGAGGACCGTAAGGACCAGCAGGGCCTGGTTCTCCCTAGAAGAAGAAGGGGCCACGTTAGGCGAGTTACTCCCATTACTGTCACATCATGACCATTTCCCAGGACCCTCTGGCTGAGGGGTGTGTGCACCCGAGGGCTCCACGTTCTCACCACAACCACCACAAAGCTGGGTGTGGATTGGCAACAGGAGAGGCCTCTGGGAGCTGCAAACTCACATCCAGTCTTGGGGGTGCCGGGTTCCAAAGAAAATGTGAAGGTCCCAGATAGACACGCCCCCTCCCATCAGTTGTGGGTCATGGAATTAAAATACGATTTAAAAAATGTTCATTTAGTATCTGCTGCGTGCAAGGCCTGCATCAAGGTTGGAAACCACCGGCATGTTTTCAGTTAGTGGTCATCAGTGATGCTTCCAGAGCAGTACCTATCCAGGAAGGAAGCCCCAGCGCTGGCCAGTGCTTTTACACTGACCACCAGAAATATTAAGACAGAATGATTGAAAGGACTCGAGGGCAGTCAGACTATGTAATAGGGAAAGAGCAAGGTTTGTGAGGGACTTCCACGTCTATGTGTGCTCAATGCCCCAGCCCAATAAGGGGCAGAGCAGAAGAGGCTGCAGCTGGCCCGCACTCCCACACCGCCCCTCCCCAGCCCCAAGGCTGGCCCTGGGACAGAGCTGTGTCCAGAAGCCCTACCTCGGCCATAGCTTACTCTGCCAAAGCATAGCTGGGGGGTAGGGGGGAGGAGCCTCCACCAGGCCTCAGGGCACAGTCCCACCCCCACTACCAGGCAGCCTCTCTGCACAGGTGCCCCCCTTCCTTTCCCCATCACTTTGGGCAGACTCCAGAAGCTGCCCAAATCCACTACCACACCCCTGCTGGCTCTGGGGCTGCTGCAGCTCCCCAGCTGGCCAGTGGCCTCCTGGCTCTCCCTTTACCTTCCTGCAGAACAGAAATCTGTTGCCTGGCCTCCCTCTCCAGTGCTGGGTGAGACAGGGACAGGGAGGCAGTTTCCAGGATGGACCACACCTGAGTCTTCCTCGCCTCCCACACTCTCTAGGGGCCAAGGTCCAGGAGCCAGAGGGACATGGCTAAATTCTGAGCAGACTCTGCTGGGTGGTGTTGAAGCCTGGGGCCATTGTGAGGCTTGGCCATGTGCTCCTGGGTACTGGCTGCCAGGGAAAGCTGGACAGTGTCCCAGTGAGGTCCTAGCCTTTTTATTCTCCCTGGGATCCAGAAAAGGTGAAAGGACCAGTTGGTATGAAGTGGGCCCTTGTGCTGGGGTCTCTGATCACACAATGAAGTGAAGACAGCCAGCCCCAGAGCCGGCCCATTCCCCTGGCGCCAGACAAGGCCAGTCAAGGCTCTGCGCCCAAGACCCTTTGTCTGGAGACTCAGAGAAAGCTGCTGGACCAGCGGGCGTCTGAGCCTGAAGTACCATTGCTCAGCCCTGGATTGGAAGAAGTCAGGGACCCTCACGGGGAGAAGGCAGAGTGAGCTTTGACCCACAGGCCCATCTGCCCCCGTCCACCCCGAAGGGGCTCACTGGGCCCAGGGGAGGTGGGAGACCTCATGGGGAGGCGGGACGGGAGCTGGCGAGTCGGGCCAAGGTGACCCGGCTCGGGGCTGCCCTGCCCGGGGTTGGGAGCTCCCAGCGGGGGGCATCGCTCGGCACACGTGGGGGCGTGACAATTGTGTCCTATTCTGCGCCCCCAGCCCCACCCCGCTTCTGGTCAGCGCAATAGTGAGTTTACACACGTAGCCGCTGTAAGGGGCAATCACAGAAAATAAGATGGCCAAGGGGAACCTGGAAGTCGCTCACACACGTCCGAAAGACTAAAGGAGTGTGGTTTACAAACCGTGTGTTAACCAAAGCAGCTGGGGACGCCACGGCGCACGGAGCTCCAGGCCGGGAGTCGGGAGGACTCAAATCCCGCCTCAGACCCTTCCTAGCTGGGAGACCCTGGACAAGTCACGTCACCCTGTTTGCCTCAGTTCCCCCATCTGTAAAATGACCACTGCAGTGTCTTTGCCAAGAAAAGCCCAGATGGGGTCATGGGGAGCTGGACCAACCGGGGCGACTGAACACGAGATTGCCCAAATTCACCACATTCACCGCATCTGGAGCGCGGCTGAATCAGCAGGAGCCGCCCCGGCTGCGGTCAGGGCCCCCGACGTGGACACTCCAGACCCCCGCGTCCGAAAGGTGCGAACAGCACGGGGATGAGCCGGCCGGGGCCTTGAGCCAGCCCCGGGAGGCGCAGACGGACCCCTGCCTCGCGGCCCTCTGCCTTTGTCGGCTTTCTGCTCCATGCCCTTGGACTTCACTGAAGTGCGATTGCCGCCGCGTTTCCTGCCGCCGGCTGTGGTCTTTTGGGGAGGCACCGGGCGTGCCTGCCTCCATTTTGTGATTGCTTCCATTAATGAGCGATTCATGCCCACTGCACCCGCCTACCTACGTGCCTGTGTGTTTGCCCACAGAGATGACATGGGGGGGTGCTGAGGGGAGCCCCCAGAGACACTTCTGTCCATCCCATGGGCCGGGCCCCACCCTCGCCCAGGGCCAGGCAGCAAAATCCTGCCTCCCTTGGAAGGGGATCCTTCAGCAGCGTGCTCCTCGGCCGTGGGGCCCCGGGCCGGGACCTCTCAGCTTCCAAAGCCTCAGGAGGAACATTCTTTTGCCCCAACACACACACACACACACACACACGCACGTGCACGCATGCATGCACGCACACATACACATCTCCTCAGGCTCCTCAACCTGTGTACATTCTTGTCTCACAAAATCCCTGACAATCAAGTCTGGAGCCAAAGCAGAATGCCCCAGAGAGGCCCCTTTCTACACCCCAGGGCTTCGTAGACTGTGGGATCCACGTCAGAGCCACGCCAGAGGCTAATGTCTCTCCTGCGCCTAGGTCACACCCAGGAGTCCTGGGAACAGCGGGCATTGAAAAAGTTCAGGGCGAAGTCAGACAAGGTGCAGGGGAGGGGCTGGCAAACTGAGAGCCCCCGGCAGAGCTTCTTTCTCCTTTGGGCAAGGAGGGTTTGGCCACAGAGCGCACTCTCTGGTCTCTTCTCCTCTCCCCTCGTCTCTTCTCCTCCCTTCCCTTTCCCCTTCCCCTTCCCCTTCCCCTTCCCCTTCCCCTTCCTCTTCCTCTTCCTCTTCCTCTTCCTCTTCCTCTTCCTCTTCCTCTCTCTCTCTCTCTCTCTCTCTCTCTCTCTCTCTCTCTCTCTCTCTCTCTCTCTCTCTGTCTTCTCTCTCTCTCTCTCTCTCTGGCTCTATTTTTCTCTCTGTCTCTCTCTCAGTCTTCTCTCTCTGTCTTCTCTCTCTGTCTCTCTGTCTCTGTCTCTCTGTCTCTGTCTCTGTCTCTCTCCCCCCCACCCGCCTGCCCACCATGCTGTTTGTTCTCAGCTAAATCTAGGTCTCATTAGTGACTCCCTTTAGTGACTGATCTCACCCAGCCTTGGCACAACCATGTCATTGAATGATAGAAATACCAAGGGATCTGATGGGGGGAGGGTAGAAAACTCCCACTTTCCCTTCTAGCAGATGACTTGTGGCCACACAGTTGTGCTAATTTACTTATGGATAGAAAGTGAACCCAACATTAAACTCTTCCTAGTTTTACAAACATTCTGGTACGGTCAGAGTTTATATTTCAAGGATTTTTCAAACCATCATCTGTCAGCTTTTATGAAATAAACTCATTGAAATTGAACCTTCCATTGTGACAAAGAAGCACAGTTATTCAGAAACAGCCTGGACTTTGCTGTGTCTACCTGTTTATGCGCCATTCTGCCCTGGCAGTCTTCTGCTGTCTGCCAAGAGGAGTGCTCCCCTCCTCCAAGACCACTCAGCACCCAAATCTTCCTGAGAAACAGCATCTCCCCCACACCTTCACCTCCTGCCTAAGGACTGTCTTGATGCCCTTTGGCTTATGGTCAGAACACCTCCATGGCTCTTTTCCTTGAAAGGAGTGGGCAGGAGTCCTTCAGAAAATCCTGTTTTCCACCAGCAGGTGTTTTTATGTGAGACCCACGTTATCTCCAACTGACTGAACCTGGCCTGTCAGCCGTAACTTGGGCCCTTGCTTTGTAAACTAGACACCTTGTCCCCCCAAGACACACATGCACACCAGGTCATACTTATGGGCCCATTAGCCAATGGCCAACATCTAAAAACACCGGCAAACTACAGTTTGGGGGAATCCTTTTGTAAAGAGAGGACTTGTTTGCAATGTGACTTGTCCACTTCTACATGACTGGTTTTGCATGACTGGTGTTCCTCATGAACACTCTGAGCACAAGTCAGAAACGAGGTTGTGTCCTTTGGCACCTCAACGCCCCTTGGATATTCTCAAGCAGAAGGAGAGAGCTTGATTGGTCAGACTGCAGCTGTGGCTCCTGCCACGGCCATGGGAAAGATCACGGGCCCCAAAGCTCCCTGGGTGTTGGGACCTGGACTCAGCAAACACATGGGTTGGAATCTCACTTCTGACGCTGACTGTGTGACCTCGAGCAAACCACATGATCCATCCAGAAGTGTTGATTCAGGGCGCACCATGTGCCAAGTGCTTCATCTGGAGAAGGATCTAGGTGCGGGATTGGAGGCTCCATTCAAACCCAAATGTGAGACCATTTTAAACAGCAGTCTTTCTCACCAGAAGCAGAGCGATTTGGCCATATACAACAATTTGGCCTGAGTCAGGGCAGCTCTGTTCTCCAGAAACATCTTGAACCTCCCCAAACTTTCTTAAACTTGAGACAATGGACTCCTAGACAGTCCCCTGATGAGCTAAACTTGCTTCACTTTGAGAAGAGGGGGCCTCCACTTCTTCCAGCCGCTCTGACAGCTTTACGCCCACCATGCTTGCACAGACCTCGCTGCTTCTGTAAAGGACAGAATGACTGTTTGTCCAATGAGTTAGAAGGCAGGAGGGTAGCTGCCCCATCGTGTGCATTTGATGGGGAGTGGCCGGGATGTAACATGTGAAAGGAGTGGTCTAAAAGGCAACTGGAATGATTTCCTAATTCAA